AAATTAATAATAATAATAATATGTTGGCATGCAACTATGTAGCATGGAAATCTTACTGCTGTTAACAAAAATAAATAAATACATGTATAGGCTTACAGCTGCATTCGGTTAAGCTTAAGGGACAGCTCAGCCCAAAATTAAAATAAATTTTTTTCGCATATTTTCCCTCTTACCTGTAGCACAGTCAGTCTAGATTGTTTTAGTGTAAGTTGGAGTGTTGGAGGTGTCGGTCGTAGAGTTGTTTGCCTTAGGATAATCCACAGAAGGAAGTGTGCACCTACCATGGATGTGTCTGTCTACTTCCGGTTTAGCACACTATGAACTTGAATGGGGGTAAAAAGATTCAATTGTGCGGCTCTTTTAGACTTTCCAGTTGTTATCAGATGGATTGGTCAAAATCCTGAAAGTGAAACAAATCATTTTGCAAGGCTTGCAACACTCAAAAAAATGTATTCATTGATTTACAGATGTCTCTTTCATATCTAAGTCAATGGGAAAAGGTCTGCTTGGGCCACAGAGCATCATGTGACAATGAATTTGTACTGTTTGGCCTCTACAATAATTTACTTCATTTCCTGCTAGCCTGGCTTATACTGCCAGCTCACTTTGCATCATTGACTTTTGTTTTTATTTTATGTTTTTTTATTTAACCAGGAAGTCCCAAGAAGAAAAACAAACACTTGTCTGTCACCTGTCATCTTATGATGTCCTTAAATTCATTGATCGATATAAGTGTTTCTAATTTTAGATCTTTTTGAAGATTGTTCCATGTCCATGGTGCAGAGTAGGAGAATGCAGTTTTCCCCAGATCTGTTGAAACCCGGGGTACATTAAAAAGTAACCACCTGGAGGAGCGTAGCTGGTAACTATCAGAGCTGACATATAGATGGGTGCAGAGATAGGCTGGGAGTTTGCCCAGTATTGCTTTGTAGATAAAAATATACCAGTGTTGTTGGTCAGTGACGTCCAACCCACCAAATCATAAAGAATGCAGTGATGAGTAAGTGGCACTGAATCAAGAACAGGTAAAATGGAGGAGGTTGCATGCATATACAGTACAATAAGTTAGCTAACAATGAGTTAGTCAACATTGCAGCTCAGCTGAGGACGGCGCCATCTATGCTTACATCTCATACTGTCACGACCACAAGCCTCTTGTCCATGAGAATATGCACGCCTCTGTCTGAGTGGTTATACAGTTGGCAGGTGTAGTTTGGTAGACAGAAAACAGTTCCTACATGAAACTGCTCACAGAAAGGTCTGCAGATTATCTTGAGTAACTGAGTCATTGATTCTAGAAAGGAAACTAAAATATGTATTTTTGATTTGGGGTTGAACTGTCCCTTTAAGCAATTCATATTCAATGCACGGGTTATTGCTCAACTCTGAAAACTTTCAGTAAACCCCTGACAGAGAGTAAAATTAAGATCAAGTGTACTCGCATGCCTGAGCAATGGAGCAAAGGGGACAACGGCATCTGTTTCCCTGCATAATGAGGAGAAATGCTGAAATCTCACACTCTCATTTTTCATATCTACATAAAAACAACTCACCTCTGCCTCGCTCTGTTATGAGACTAATGCAATACACCATGTCGTGGACATCATGTGTTATTGTCTTACTGAGAAAACTCGAGGCGAAACATTTTAGAATTTTTAATAAGATTGCATTGGAGAAACTACAATAAATACCATATACTATAACATATATATAATTTATTTATCTTATCTTGAGAGGCTCAGTGGATTGGTATCAACTGACATACCTTTCTCAACACACAGCAACAAGATTTGTTGGGGAAAATGTAATTTGCAAATTTTTGGTTATAAATCTACAACTAGAAATATGGTAAATATGTCACACTGTTGTAGACTTTTACTCAAAAGTAATCCCAAGTCCTGCGGGGAACCTTGTTGCATGTCATTTACCCCTCTTTCCTCATTTCCTGTCACCTCTCCTGTGTCCAATTTTAGATAAAGAAAATGCCCCCAAAATAACACCAATAAGCGCACATTTTTAGAGGGAAGACTTTAAGGATTTATCACTAACAAGTTTAATTCCTGCAGGATTTCTCAGATAATTAAAATTCGATACTGAATAACTCTCTCATTCTCCCTGAAAAATGAGCATACTGTCAAATCAAACAGATCAAAGTCGAAACCCAAAACGTTCCCTTTTATAGAAAGGACAATGTTGAATTAAGTGAAGGATTTCTGGGAAATGCAGGAAAGTGCTTTTTATGAAAGAGGGATTTTCTGGGGACGGACTCACAGTTATCCAGCTCTCTAAGCACCGCTCTTCTACTTTACAACATAACATGACCAGGCACCCATGACACTAGGCAAGATGGGTGTGGAGCGCAAACCCGCCGGTCTCATTGTCCACATACAGCACACACACATGCTGTACTGTTTATCCTTATTAATTCAGATGTTAATGTTGAAACACTGATTCTGCATGTGTTCTCAAACACTGCCCATTTCTTGATCTTTTATGTAATCTTAAAATGACATTATCATATTGTCAGCGGTGACAATGCGGCATTACTTCTGGGAGTTTTGATGCAGAAATCCTTCCAACAGAACTCAGGCATGTTGAGGCAGCCCGAGCTTGTTATATTTAGTCAGACATGAAGTCCACTGCTAATGAATGCTGCTGGCAGGGTGTCTGTGAGCCCTGCGGAGATTACAGTGAGCACTGGTAATATGTGTCCTCTGTGAGTAGGAGCAGCACAACAAGCCAGACAGACAGACCTACATAGAGAGGCAAAGGAACAGTTAGTATTACATATTTGTGATTTTATAGGCCAGACGACAAACGTCATTATTCTTAACATGTTCTCTGAAAAAAAATAAATGAGAATTTTTTAAATATGTGTTGAAATCTGGAATAATTTCAGAAATAACACACACAAAAAACAATCAAGATAGCTTTCTCCTGTACCAGAGATAGTCCCTGTGATACTGTATGTCACCCTGGCTGTATAGACACTATTGTGTTGTTGTTTAGGGTCCAGTGAGTAGAAAGTTTTATTGGTGGGCAGTTGTGCCCGCAGGCATCAGTAGCTTCCACTAACACAGCTATAACCAGTTCAACTGAGAAATTGGGATATTCTTGGCTCAAGACTAAGTTTAGATCATGGATTGTTTTCTGCTCCGCTGCCTCACACGATGCTCAGTTCTAGTGATTGTTCCTATGAGCACATTGCAGTCCTCTAAATTGGCTGTAATCTGTGCTGCCGGTTTGATGTATTCCACTAAACCCCACTGTCTGCACCATACTGTGGCTCTTGCATCATATTTGTCTAACTCCTACTAAGCGTAGCCATTTTCATGGTATGTATTGCTCATTAAAATGCTTGTAGTGCGTCTATATGGGCCGTGCTGTACACATAAACACACGTGTACTTTGTTTAACCCCTGGGCCTACTTATTTTATCTCTCTCTACTGTTTCATTCGCTCTGACATGCAGGCATTGACCTTTAAATCAGATCAACTTTGCCTTGGTTTTCCCAACATTCATGTGAAATCAGAGGGAGGTGTTAGTCAGTTTTAGATTTCTGTTTAATTAGCATTCTGAATAATGGCCTTTACAAAGACTTACATGATTATGATAATACTTGTTGATAAATTTCCCTTAAGCATAATGATTTTATGCCTCCACGCCGGCAACAGCCGTCCGTTTGTCCGCCCTTCCATCCGTTCATCCCGTTCTCATGAACATGATATCTCTGTGGCAATTTCTTAATATTTGGCACAATCGTCCACTTGGACTCAAAGATGAATTGATAAGAATTTGGTGCTCAAAAGTCAAAGTCATGCTGACATCACAAAATTTCACACAGATGAAAGTCATTGGTTTTACGGATAATAAGCTTCAGGTGATTGTTGTTGCACCATGTGATGAAGCTCTCTGTCACTCCTCTGTAAAAATAGTCTCCAAGTGAAGACAGCATGGGAATTATTCACTGGAATTATATGCCAACAAAGCAATAACTTCCACTTCACTCAAAAAGCACTGAATACCTTTTTTTAAATTCCTTTAAAATCTTCTCTACATACTATATATGATAGGAGTCTGGGCAGACATGGATATAAACCGCAGCTTGGCTGTGGCAGAAGCATACAACCATGAGGCGGTAATTGTAGTTTTGCCTCCGCGCCAACATCAGCTGGGGCCGGAAGCGTTATGTTTTTGGGTTGTCTTTCTGTCCCATGCTCGTGAACATGATATCTCGGAGCCACCTGGCCACTTGGACTCAAGTATGAACTAGATTAAATTTTGGTGGTCAAAGGTCAAGGTCACTATGACCTCGCAAATCATATTTTTGTCCGTAACTCAAGGAATTCATACGCTACTTATGACAGAATTTGATACAAATGTCTAATAGGATGAATGATGCAGTGATGGCATTTTATATCCAAAAGGTCAAAAGTCGACTTCACTGTGACATCATAATGTTAGCAGCAACACTTTTCTGGCCATGACTCAACACCATCACTGAGGAACAGAAGGAGAGACATGTGGTCAGACACTAAGAAGGTGACACTAATCTTGGGTGTCCAACCTGAAAATGTGCTGATGGTACAGATCTTCTCTGCTGTTGGGTTGAAGATGTGTCTGAAGCATCCGTGTTGTAGAATTTGTAGCATCTTTGCAGCAGCATCCATATTTGTCATGGCTACAACTTTGTGTTCCAGCCTGTGCCCCTGGTAGTCCACGACAAGCTCATCAATTTTGTTGCTTTGGAGCTTGAGGTGATTGTCCTTGCACCATGAGACGAAACTCTATATGAATCCTCTGTGCTCTTTTGTAGAAATAGTCTTTAAGTAAAGACAGAATGTTTCTCAGTGTGAATTACTCGATTCTTCTCACTGGAAATGTTCTAGTTTTCTTTTAGGGTGAAGAAAGACATCACGGGACATACTAAACCTTTTGGAGATGACAGGTTGGTGTATGCTTCAGCTTTTTGGCTCTGACACTTTTTTCTCTCTCTCAGGGTCTGACTTTCAGTGTTATATCCACGTGATCCCTGTGAAAAACGAGGAGGGCGTGGTGATGATGTTCATCATAAATTTTGAGTATGTCGTGGATGAGGAAAGTGACAACTCCACAGAGAAGATAAGCCCAACGTCCCCGACAAAGTCAGATCAAAGTGAGTATCTGATATACCATTCCTTCCTTGCTGTGATCCAAACGTGCCTGAATAAGAATTGCTATGGAGTGAAAAGAACAAAAATAGAAATGAGAATATTTTTTTGTCTTTGTTGTTGTGGTATTTTAATTAGTTGGAATTTCCTTTTTACCCCACATCAGTATTTTCTAGGTAAAAACTTCTTTTATGTCCAGAAAATCCTGACACTGTGCCAAAAAATTATGCATGGCGCTCCATCAGTCATACATTTGTCACATTTTTTTCTGTCCTTCTTTTTTTTTCAAATGAAAGCTGTCCACATTTTATGAAATGGCTCCATTTCTAAACCAACTAATTTCACTCCTTCAACAAAGATCAGTTGCATGAGTGGATGGCGGTAATTGAGATAATTCATTAAAATAGCCCTCTACATCTCTTAGACTCTAATTAAGCACTAGAGATTTTGATACGGTCCACTGAGATGCTGCTTGTAACCTCCAAACATGTTGCCAGCCTCTATTATTCAAAAAAAAAGTATGCATTATTTAGTTTGCAAGTGCAATCCAGTTTACATGTACAATGTGCATTCAAGGAGTAAGTGGTCTGCTTAAGTAACCACATCTTGTTGCAAATGTTTAATTCTTAATTGTTATATCTGTTTTATGCCTTTTGAGAGAGGAGCATATACCGCACTCTCATTTTTTATTTGGATATGTGTCAGTAGGTGTAAATGTCAGTGAGACATTCCAGCTTCTCTCTGATTGGAAGCACTCAGCATCTCTTCTCTGACCGGAGCTCAGCTATCCACTTCAATCAGCATGAATTCCTCCAGGGCACTGGCATTCGGCTTGTGCTGTACTCTGTGTATGCGTGTATGTAAGTGTGTGCATGCAGTCGTATGTGTGTGCGTGCTTGCTTGCTTGCGTGTGTCTGCCTATGTGTGAGCAAGTGCCTGTGTCCACTGTTAACATTGCTAATCAGAGTTGATTGCTTGTGACCATGCTACAGCAAGGAGACCTGTGGGTAGATGGGCAGATAAACATATGATGTGACTTTTGATTAGAAAGAGTCTTGACTACACACACACACATCACACTTAAAGTATGACCTTACTATTGTCTTTGTCTTTGAGCAGCTTTTAGATAACACCAGGGGATTATGAAACAAATTTACGCTATACTTGGTTTGACAAGACAGATGCTAATAATCTGTAATGAAGCTGTGTGCTAGCAGACGATAGCTTCCATTCAAATGTAGGGCAAGTTTTAACCAAGTTGTTTGAAAATTGGCAAAATAAAATAAAATTTATATTCCATCCACCACTGCAATGCAAATATTGGGAGTTCGTTCATTTAGATAAACAGTTGGTGGCACTAATTCTCCAAACACAACGAGATGATGTAATTAAAAGAGCGCCAGTCTAACCTCAAACAAAGGAAACCAACGATTCAATGGAACAATGGAAATAGAGAGGGTTTTTTTTTTGAAGATTATGTTTTAGGGCATTTTTGCCTTTAATTGATAGGATAGTTAAGTGTGAAAGGGGGAGAGAGAGAGACATGCAGCAAAGGGCCACAGGCTGGAGTCAAACCTGGGCCGCTGTGGCGACAGCCTTGTACATGGGGCGCCTGCTCTACCACTAAGCCACCGACACCCCGGACCAACTAACATTACAGCTGTGTGCTCTTGAAAGAGTTCTGGTAACAGCTGTGTCTGCAGGCCTTACCATTTTAAAAGCCATCCAAAGATGATGAAGAGAGCTTGCAATGGCCTATGCAGTGACACTATGTCATGACTGTACGCCATCATTTATCTGCTGAATCTGTTTTCATCGCAATTAAGCCTCTTTTCCACCACACAAAAACACCATAAACACCCACTAACATGTGGCTCTTGTCTTTAGTGGGAGAGGTTACAATTGGCATTCATTTCCAGGACTAATGGCTCGGTAGACACGGTAGACACCTGGGTGGATGTGCTAATTTTTGCCATTTTTTGCGTGTGATGCAATGATGCACCGCCACAAATTCCATCCATCTCCATCCAAGCAGCGCAGCGATGCTTGGAAAACGTGTTTAGTATAAGACAGTTGTATTGTCGGTGAATCTTGTTAGTTGTAACGGAGCCAAATTATGTACCGTTACCTTTCTTAAGTGTTGCTGTTGTCCCTGGTTTTATATGAGAAGAGGAAAAGATCGCTAGACGCTAGGCTAGTTTATACAGTGTAAAATGACATAGGCTTGTGCTAATAACATTAGCATGTTGTATTGGTGGGGGAAATGTGTCCAGATAAAGACAAGTGTTTGTCTGTCAGTTCTGCGATTTATAGTGAAGCCAATTTGCGTAGCTGTGTTTGAAAATGTCTCTATTAAGCCATGTTTAATGTGTGTTTTTAATCAACTATATAAATAATGTTTGATTTCAACCAAACGTTACAGCACTTAACACAGTCCTCCACCGCCGACTAGTGTTTTGGATGTGTAACTGCAGAGTGACACAGACACACCACCACAGAAGTAAAAATAACGTGCAGATTTTTTTTTTCCACGACTAATCAATTAGTTGAAGATTATGTGCAACTTTAGTTGACCAAGATTTTATTTGGTTGACTACAGCCCTAGTCCTTTGACGTCGGCATGATAAGCAGCTGGTCGCCATTATACTTTAACGCTGCTTGGTGGCGTCAGGGAGAAACGCGGCGGAACAATAACAAAAGTTAAGGCAGGAAAGTCCAAGTAGGATGCGTGGGAGGGGTGGTGGGTGGGTCCAACAAACACTGACTTTCATCCAGTAGAGCAGTATTCACATTCTGTAAGATTATAAAGCCAAATCCTGTTCTTTTTTTCCTAGCCCCAACCAATTGCGTTAGTTGATGAAGGAAAAAAACTGTCAATTTATGGTGTTGTACTGACGTAGTGCATTTATTTTGAAAGAGACTGTATGTAAACTGTAAATTTGAAAGAGAGACTGAATAAGTAAGACATACAAAAAAAATTAAACTCTCCATAACACTTTCACTGGCCTCCATGCTGCTTTCTATTGTTTTACAGTTAGTTTTAACAGGTCACATTTACCTTTTATTGATATGCCGACTTTCAACCTCTCCCAAGCATCAAAACTTTTTTGCAATATTTTGAGATTCTTGTCAGATTTTTTGCATTTTCACTCAGGTTTTGTTTGCGCAAATTGAAAATGTGCATCAAAAGAGGTGGCTGGAAACACCTTATATCATGTACACATACTGTCTTTATTGCCAGTCCACATATTTAGTATCTCTTCAGATGTGTATGAAAAATACATGTATTCCGCAGCATTTAGACCATGAGTAGATACAAAAAATTTGGCATTGATGACTGAAATTCCTCTCAGGTTGTCAGACCTTTACAGCACAATGACAGGAACATTTCATAGGCAAAGGAAGAACTTTGACACGTGACTGCTTTAAAAAAATAGCTTTTTAGGCATTTTACCTGAAATCATTAGGGAGAACATTCCCACATAGCCTAGCCATACATTTTGGCTTGCCATTTGCCATGTCATTTTTGTCTATGAAAAGTGATTTTTGGACATTGGGGAGCTAATTATGATCTGCTGTTGACAGCAGGCGATAAGCCCGCAGGTGTTAACTAGCACAATATTGAGCCTATAAGAGAGTATTCCCTCTTTCCCAGAGCTGCCATCTAGAACACATCATTCAGCAACTTCAACATGCCTTAAAGGCCCAAAACCAGAGACAATACTTACAAATTACACAGCAGAAATATACACTGTCCGGTGCGTCTTTCTACTGTTCAGTCAACAACATTGGAATCTATGAACTTTCAAAACAGACACTCAGCCGAGCCAGTTTCTTTCAGTGTAAAGGTCTACTCCTACATGTAGCTCTTTCCAGATGTTAAAGCTCGTCATTCATGCCCTACGGGTGAGCTTGGACACCCTGTGACACAAAGTCTTGTTGGCTGTTTGTATCCACAATCTCATCCTCTAGAATACTACCCATAGCTCGTGAGCATAGCTGAGGGCTGGAACATAAATCAACTGGTGTATCGAGAGCTTCGCCTTCAGGCTCAGCTCCACTTTTCCACCACAAAAGTCCATGTCACTGCTAATGTCGCATCGATCATCCTTTTAATCTCCGTCCTTGTGAAAAAGACCTCCAGATACTTGAGCTCCTTCAGCTGAAGCACAAACTCGCTCACAGCTCAAATGGCACAATCCACCGTTTACCAGCAGCGTGCAATGGACTTGGAGGTGCTGATTCTTATCCTCGCCCCTTCACACTCTGCACCGAAAGCCTTCACAGTAACAAGAATAAACATATATTTTGGGAAGGATATGTTGACATGTGTCTCACTCAGTATAAGAAGAAGTCAGCCCCCATTTGTAAGGCATTCTTAGTCATCCAGGTAATAGGGTATTCAAAGTACTAAATATCACAGGCAGCTGAAGATGCCGTTTTAATCTTAAAGACATTTCATCAGTGAGCCGAGGGATTTAATCAGTCTGCTCTCTAGTGGGGAGTCCCAAGTAGGTAAACGTCTTTGGATGATTCACACTTAAGAGTCGCATGAGGTGTCTTTAGGGCCATGTAGGAGTTGTTAAGATCACGTGGCAGTTATGTGTGAGTCATCAGAGTCCCGTGAATTCAGGTGTGAATTGGTTTGAAACCACCTCAGAGGACACGGCAGGAAAGCACTGTCAGCTGCTGATGAGCCTTTACAGGAAAGCTTTAAAAGGTCAAAATAGCAGCAAGATGTAGTAAAAGCTCCATATTAACACACACAGGAGAGAAGCAGTGCAGTCATTCTACACATACAGTATATGGAGTCACCAATTAACACAGTATCGGCTTGTTTTTCAAACCCAGTGACACATTAATGCAGATACCTGTCCACTCTAATGACTAAAAACCTTAATATAAATCTCAGCATGCCACCTATAAATGAACAGTTGATTGTCCCAGGGATCACGTTTTTCTGTAGTCCAACAGAGAGGGTAGCATGGCACTGGTTCCCTTGTCAAAAAGCCTTTGGGATTTTTCCACTGGATTTTGGATTATTTGAAAACGTTTATAATACTTGCACATTTTTTTCAGCAAGATAATCTTCACAAATGACCACCAGTTATGATTATTGAAGCCTAAATGCACCAGAAGTAAAAATCTAACAAAACTTACTACACTAAAGTTCCATGACCGAACTAATAGAATTTTTATTCCAACTGAAAATGAGAGATGTAAAAGAAAAATGTGGGTACTGTAAGTTTTTATCGTATAATACAAAATGTTTCCAGGACTGTGATGTATTTTTAGGACATACAGTATGTGTGCTGGTGATGATGTCATTATAGAGGGGGTCTGTGTGATAATTGGTATTACAGTGATTTACTCTTATTGCACAACAAAGATATTTTTCTTAAGCTACTCCACTAACAATTTACATCTTATTGGGTTGGTTTGAGCTCCATTTTTCCATACTAAAATGTGTTATACAGGTATTATATAAGCATTCAGGCAGAGCAACAGTCAAGAGCATTCTCAGTGCAGATGACACAATCTCCCCGCAGAGAAGAGACAGGAAGGTTGTCCATATCTCCTGCCAGCTCGGGATGTCATTAGGTTCCTCTCCAGGAAACTTGTTGAGTGTCATGGCTCTATTGTAAGCTGCTATGGTTGTAACATCAGCACATTTGGCCAGGGAATGGAAACAGATGGCAATGACGTTATGTAAGGAGGCTGCTGAGGGATGGGTGCCTCACGAGTAAGGCAGGGTTCACTTTCACCCTCTTTCTATTGTTAATGAGCCAAAACTTTCGCTCTGTCCCAAGAGGTCGTTAACATTCGCTACTGTGTCCCATCTGAAAATGTGTCCCCTGTGCAAAAATTGGGTTCCTGTCTCAAATTAATGAGGCATAATAAATCGATAGTGCAATCTGCTCTTTCTGATGCCCACGGGTGCTGAAAGGAGATGTGTTGCAATATGGCAAAACCAAATCTCTTTTGATTTGTCTTAATTCTTAAAGTTTAGTGGGCTGATTTTCTAACACAGGAAATGTTTAACACTGAAGTTTATCACTGCTGGAAATCAATTCAATCAATCAATTAAAGATTGTCTTTTCTTAAAACTGTGGTCTCTACGCAGTACAAAAACACAAATACTTTTGAAATTGATGCTATATGACCAGAAAAACAGAGGAAAAAGGACTGTGGCTTTCGCTTTTGCTTAGAAGGGTAGAGTACAACTACCACAATGCACTGCACCGGACCAATAAACGCTTCCTCTTGTGGGTGATGTAATATAAGCTTAGCCATTTGGACACATAAACAGTATGGACATATTCAACAGCCAGTGCTGCCCGCCCCAAAAAACTTATCTTCAGTAGGTTACCATTCATTATGTGTAAGTTTAAATCAATAAAGATGATATTAATTTTAATGCTTTTTAGCATCCCACTTATACGTAGGTTGGCTATTTAAGCTTGATACGATATTACAGGAATGTCCCTTGCCAACTATCTGTCGTTCTTTAAGGGTAAAGTAGCAGGTGTCCCAGTTATCTCCTTAGCCTTGTGCTGCATTCATGTGATGTCAGAAAAATGAGTTTCCAATCATATTTCATGGCTAACCTGATCTGTTTCCTTTGCTCTTTGTTATTAACGTGCTGTTTAAACACTCCGTAGCGTCCATGATGTTTCCACATCACAGCTTAAACCTCTTTTTCTTTTTTTGTTTTGTTTTTTTGCTGTTGTTATAGTTGTAGTTTGTTGTTTGCTATTTCAGTAAAGAGGACTTTTGCAACTATATACACTTTTTGAATTCCTCCGACCTAACTCAGTCTTTTGAACTAGAATGGCTAGCGCTGCACTGAACTATGAGGGTTCGCAGCCTAGGATTGTATCAGTATCTCAGAGAATAAATAAATGTATGAATTTAACAAAACAATAAATGTAGTTGCAGATTCGATCATATCTCGTTCCCTCACTGTAGCAGTCAGCATGAACAGTACCCTACAGTAACAGCGAGCAGGAAAAGTCGAGGATTCATGAGACCTCACATTCAACAGGCTGACTTTGTCCATACCATACACTGAAAGTCATTCAGTCCTTTCATTTTTGCCCTTTACAAGTTCAAGCAACAGCCTGAGAGCGAGCAAAAGTCGGATTTAAAGTGAGAGATAAGCAGGGAGATCTGGGTGCGGGTACGATGGAGTTAAGTAAACCATAGTTCATCTATACATACTACCCGCATTGTTATAATGCACAGCTGGTTGAAAATCAGCAAAGCATCATTTTAATCAAAAGATGTGAAGCTTTAGTTACAGAAAGTCCTGCAACGATGAGAGAAATGTTATCCCCCTAAAAAACTGTATGGTCATCGTATAAAAGATTAACTTAAGAAAAGTACACAGAGGCCTGTGCACTTGAGCAACCAGAGCCAAAATTTGTTCATTTTATTATTTATGTGCGGATGTGTCTCAGCACCTGCCGTTCTCAATGTTGGGCTTCCATGTACTTTTTTTGTATCAGTGTTGTTGTCACTGAAAGAGGAAGCAGATATGTCAAAAGAACTTCAAGCACAAATGATATAATAATAAATTATCATATAGTCAGAAAAGGAGTGTGGTTAACCTCTGGTTTCATTGTCATAACCTTTGCAGTTGCTGAAAATTGGTCATTTAATCCGTTCCCACTTCCAGGCCTACACTTTTTTAGTTTCCATTTTCTCTTATATGTTTAGGCAGAACAAACATTTTGTGCAGTCATGAATGTTATTGTTCAATATTAAAAAATGACTTTTAAATGTTTTTATTTTTATTGGCATACACTAAAAATCTAACAAGGCTTCTCATTATTTTCCCTCACTTTTAGGGAGAAGTAGATTCTTCCGCTTCCGCCAAGCCGCTTTGAGCCTAATGAACACCAAGCAATCTCTTCCACAAGAGGACCCAGATGCTGTGATGGTGGACCTGCCCAAAGAGAATGAGGGCTCAGTGGCCCTGCAGAGCTTCCCCTCGCCTACCAAGAGCATTTGCAGTCCCATTGAGACCAATGACACGCGTGGCCTCATAGGCTCAAGCCACCACTCTTCCCAGGCTAGCATCGGCCCTGAACCAGTTGACCATTCATCCCCTAAACTCCCCTGGGAGAAGCTGTACCAGACGGAGCCTCTCCAGTCCTCCAACACCCTGTCAAACACCTTCCCCAGAGGCAGCATCAACAGCATGAGGCGAGCCTCATCCGTCCATGAAATTGAGGCCTACAGCTCCAATTCCAAAAGCATATTCAGGGATCGTCATACCAGTGAAGGTACGTACTGCAGTGTGTAAGGAAAGCTTATGGCTCCAATCTGCGATTAGTGTACGGGGTCCCACTGGCCTAGACATCACATTATAATTGAGTTTGCATTAGACTGCAGACCAGTGTTAACACCACCATATGACACTGGGGTCAGCAAGGCAATGTACACCAATTACAGATTTGGTCTTCAAAAGTGATTTTTAAGAGACACTGTTTGTGTTTTATTCTTTTACTTCTATCATCTTTTCTGAATCTGTTTAGGGTTATTAACATGTTTCTTCTTTATTTGTTCTGTCCACAAAACGCTGCCTTTAGACAATGTCAGAGGTAATCATGTATTTCTGTTTGTCGTCTCATTGCTCAGTGCTGTTTTGGAGCATGACTTCAAGCAAGGCAATCAGCATAAACGCTCTTCACAGATCCACTTCTAGTGGATAGGCTGAGTGGGCTGACCACACTTAATTATGTGAAATGATTTTATACTTAGACCAGTGTAGTGATTTTGTCACACCAGCAGTCCATAAAATCATATAATGTAATCTCATATTTGCTCTTATCTTGTGCTAATCAAAGCATTGCTTGTAGACTAACCTGCATGAATGTATGCTTGTATTGCTTGATACGATAGTAGCTCTGCTGAGTAGCTATTGTTCGAAGGCATGCAAGCCATTAAAGGAGCTGTCTGCCACATTCAGAGCATATCGATGATTTGGGCCAGGTATTGTCTGCACATGGTTCTCAATATGGAGGTGGCTGAGCTGGCAGCTAGCAGCTAGCAGCTAATGGTGCTAACTCAATAAACAGTGCTAACATTGACACAAGTGGCTAACACTGTTACCTGGGAGGGAACCAGACGGTAGGTGATATGCGGCAGCATTGTCCAGACACTAGCTGCACCCTATGAGAGCAAAGTGCAGAGTGGCAGCAATTAGTTAGCCATTAGGATTCACTTACAGAGGCTCACATGCACTAATATGCATGTACAGCCGGATCATATACCACATCAATAAGCAGAGAAGCTCTGATTACAACACACACTGAGGTAGACTTCATTCTTTGCTCAGGACGCCATTACTCCACTTTATCTTAAAGCAAATACTGGTTTGCTGCTTTATTAATGTTCTGAATGTTGCATTCAGCTTTTTGAAGCATACAGTATCTGTGGGAAAATCCTCAACAATTGCACAGCTGGTCATGCACCAATAGTATTAGGTTACAGAAACACTCAACAGCTATTTTATAAAATAAATTTTAGCAAGTCTGCCATACTGTTAACACATGTGCGTTGATGCATGCGTAAACTGTGATGAAAACAGAAGCACAGTCCAGTCAAAACTTTGCTTTTAAGAATATGTGTAATTCAAAAGCTGACGTCTCTAAATGAACCACCAGTTCCTCTAAATATGTAATTGGCGCTAATTCACAGCCAAGTACATCTCTAAGCACCCGACCTAATTCTTATGAACCGAAGCTAGCTTAGATGTAGTGTAGGACTGTACTGAATGTCATTTTTTTACAGTCAAAGCTGCTATTGTGGTTTTCAAATGAAGCGTGAAATGTCTGTTGTCATATTTTATGACATCATCACCCTAAATATACATGAATAAATTAATTAAAATAAATCCTTAAAAAAAATGCTCAGTTTGAACAAAGAGATTAATTGGATTAAATAAATAAAAAGTTGGACAACATTCAAATGTTGATGCAAATTCAATGTTATGAAAGAAGCTTCAAACTTCGAACTATTCGGTGCAGCCCTGCTGTAGTGCATTTTCCTATTTGCAGAGTATGTAATTAACCATTCCCTAAACAGCTTCTCCACTATCCACTAATGCCAGAGCACATTAGTCAATGGTACTGTGTAAGTATTGTAGGCTGCTACTGTAAAGCTGCAACATCATTGCATCAATATCAGTATCAGTACAGTATACAGAGCGCTATGTATCATTATATTGCCCTAATACCAAAAACATAGAAATAGTGAAAATCAGTGAAACATCCATTTAATGTGTTTAGTTCACACTTGTAAAAATAAAAAACGTTCTTATATCACGAAAAACATTAATTGTAATTGCTTATACTCTGCTCACTGAATTAAGTGAGCACACTAGCATCATTTTCAAAGCCATCGGATGGTATTAACTGAAAAAAATCAATGCCTATCAATGTGTCCAAACCGCCATGGGTACTAATGTGACTTTCATTCATTCTAAACCACCAGGCCCTTTTAATCACGTGAAGCCCAGCCTGCTTGGCTCTACCTCTGATTCTAACATCAACAAATACAGCACCATCCACAAGATCCCTCTGATTGCACTCAACTTCTCCGAGACGACCGACAAGAAGATGCATTCTCCGCCAACATCCGACAAAACCATCATAGCACCAAAGGTCAAGGAGAGAACTCACAATGTCACGGAAAAAGTCACACAGGTGAGTCAGGAGGGGCCACTTAATTTAGCATAGTAGTGTCTTCTGTACCATCATCAGCCACCATTCATAAAACCTGTGGGATTTCTAAGGTGGGATGTGGGATAGCAGGTTAAAAAACGCAGCTGTTGATCCCATGGTTCACTGAGGTAACACATGGCTGTCTACTGCCTACCCAGGTCAACCACAGGGAGACATAAATGATAAGAGGGAGGGAGGGAGGGTAATTGGGCTTTCCTAATTGCAGAGAAAGTGGGGATAATATTGAAGGAAAAAGGGTGAAATTCATACACATCAACATCAGCTAAGCGTAATTGTTTTAAGGGGAGGAAGGACATTCCACTGATCCCTCATGAAAGAAATTCATTTTTTTACTTGCAAGCCCAAATGCAGGTTCATAACAATTCTGCGGGGATTCAGCAGGGATTCAGTTTCTTGCTCAAGGTCAGTTCAGCAGGACCAACTCTTCCTGTCATATGGCTGAAACGGGGGCTATCTAGTGGCACAATTCCCTGTCGACAACACCACCAACACAGCTGCTGCCAGCTTGCCAAGGACAGCTAAGTGCAGGCATCCGTCACAGTTTTGATTAATGAATACTTATGTGTCATCTGGTTACATTCAATAAAAAGACGAAATACATAGGCCTATGTTTTTGTCTAAAAGGATCCACAATGTCATATAATTTAGGTATAAATAGCTATGAAAACTGTGTGTAGGTCACACTACAAGGGATAAACAATACTGCTGGTACCTTCAGGCAATGTTAGAAACAACCACGAGAGAAACCCAGAAACCTTATATTTAAACATCTTTCAACGGAGCTTACTCATTCATAAATGAGGACAAACCATCATGATGATTAAACGCTCTCCCTCTCCACTGACTCTAGCTTGGAGTTTGGAGACACCGCTGAGATGTGAACACGGCATCTACTTCCTGACTGCTAGCATGGGGAAATCTATAATTCATGTGTTGAAGATAGGGGAATGTGCTTGAATGAATAGAGAGACCTGCCGCCCTCATCCTCACTCCTGCACTATTTTCTGCCATAAGAGAGCCCTCTCTCTTTGTCTGCCACCGCTTATTAAGCCCAAAACAGGGGACGGCTTGGCCTTCCTGAGCACACTGAATAATTTATCTTCCAGTCAGGGTTCATTCATATGGGAAAATTACAACAAATGTTTGTTTATGGACATAAATGCATACATATATCTATCAGCTTTTCTCCATGTTACTGTCTGTGCAGTGAAGCACTTAGTTTTTACCTGGAGTACAGAATGTACATCTTGTAAATGTGGAACAAGGCAGTTGCTGTCACATTATTCATGGTGATGGGACATAGGCAGTCTACTTGTCAGACATGCTGCCTTTACCTAATACTGTTTGACTGCACAGAACTTACAGTAGTGTGTCACAGTTGCTGTCAAATCAGTCCCTGAAGTCTGTGAGCTGGCTAAATTACCTGGTGGGCCTCTTATTATCACAAGAAAAGGCTTCTTTGATCAAACTGTCAGAAGGACAATCAACGAAGACAAACACTATCAACATCAATTCGGACAAGGTGGAAATTAAGTGACATTTTCTGACTTGAAATCAAAGTGGAGTGGTGTAATCAGGGGGTTTCCCTTAAAGGTGTTGTATGTAATTCTGGATAAAGGTTGTTGATTGTTGAGTCTCATTCGCAGGTTGCCAGAATACTGATGCCTTGGTTTCGTGGTTCAGTCCAACTACCAGCCCAAATTGGTATTGGATGACCTGGGAATGAGATTCAACAATCAGCTCTCTTTCTCCAGAATTGCAAACTGAACCTTTAGATGTAAAACGGACTGCATTTGCATTTAGTATTCCGTATTCGAGTACTCGCATTCAATTTTCATAAAGTTCTCGAATACTTGTACATTCTTAGGAATGTAGATTGGCCGACAATCAAAAACAAGTGCAATTTGAAATTAATTTAATGAAAACCGAGGCTTCAATTAGCCTATTAACCATAAATTCAAAGTTTATGTTAGAAAAATCAGCAAACCTTCTGATGCTGCCATTACATAGGTTTGACGCAGCATTAAAGGACCATCCAGAGTCCTAAACTGCTCTCTCCCAGTCAGTTTAATGTCTGCAAGGTTAGTTTCATCACGATACAATATTGATTCTTTGGACAATGATACTATATTTGCAGATATCACAAAGTCGGCCATTACTTGATTTAATTTCAATTCAATTTAGGGGCCTGCAATCGATATGAGACAATATCATATGCTCAATTAATATAATTGGTTACAGGAGAACCTTACTTATTTCAAATTGACCTGTCTGACACACAAAAAACAGCACATAGTATAATACAAATATGAATACTTAATTGTCCACAATGTGAATATTTTTCTTTGGTTTCACCTTAACACATAGCATAAGACATACATAAAAATCTGTGTTCACCATAGCACATCCCATGAAAAACATACATATGACAACATATATGCTACATAAAAGTAGAAATACAAATGCCATAAGAGGTCTTTGCCATAAACATTCATAAAGAATGTCACTCCCAACATACAACTTTCCAGGCTCTCTACCTGAAAGCCCATTTTGGAAGAAATCCTTTCGTTGTAACCCAAACCATGATCTTTTTCCTAAAACATCAGGGCTGTCTGACTTAAAGCCCTGACGGCAAACTTCTCTCAACAGCCAAAAATGGATTAATAAAACATTAACAAAAGTACAAAATTCAGTTCAATAATAACTGTCAAGGTTTATTTTTTTGCTGGTCACCATTATTTTTTTTTACTCATTGTTGGTTTAAGTCACTGCGTCTCTTGACACAGCAGCATGGTTGAACATTGAAACACAACAGCTTATGTTGCCATGTTAATGGAGTTAGTGGATAGAGATGCCTGACAGGTATGTCATGTTTCCTGAGTATTTTATCTCTAAACGGTACTGTTTACATACAGCGTTTATATTGTCTGTTTACCTGTATTTTCTCTAAAATCCAAAATATTTCCGTACTGCTGATTTATTCCTGCCTAAATAACATTATCCTTACTGTCTTTTTCTCGGCTACTTGCCATCAACTGCCTGGTACTGTTTGACAGTGATGCAGAATTTCAAAATAAAAGCGTACTATAAAGATGGTGATATGCATTGATGTTTTCACTTTGCATCAATGCATATCGGATCGTTGTTACATTAATCAATTGTTACGCCCCCTAGTTAGCACAGGCTAAAATAGCAGCAGCTGCTGCTAACATCTGACACCAAGCCATTTACAGTTGCAAGGAACTCACACCGACACCGAAACAGCTCAGCTCTGTTTCAATTAAACCCGTTATAACTCATGACGCTATCAGCTAGCCCTTTCACTGTGTGTCTGGGCAGACTCTCACCAACTGTTCCCCAGTGCGAAGCTCATGCTCCCACAGTAGAAGTCTCATGATAACAAAGAGAAGAGCAACAGCAGAGCAAGGAGGCACTGAGCGCCTCTATACATTGAACGCCTACTGACATCCAAATCAAGTACTTGAACAATCATCTCTAATTTATATAGCACTTTACTAGTGTTAGCGACCACTCCAAGCACATAACAACACAAGCACCGTTCATCCATTCACACACACATTCATACACTGGTGGCAGAGGCTACTATGCAAGGTGGCACCTACTTATCAGCCATAAACATTCACACACACATTCACACAGCGATGGCACAGTCATCAGTAACAATTCTGGGTTCAGTATCTCGCCCAAGGACGTTTCGGGGCCAGGGATTGAACCTCCGACCTTCTTACTGTTCTGACCCTCTCTTACCACTCTTCTAGGTCCTGTCACTCGGAGCTGATGTGCTACCAGAGTACAAACTCCAGACAACCCGCATCGACAAGTTCACCATCCTCCACTACAGCCCCTTCAAAGCTGTGTGGGACTGGCTGATCCTGCTGCTGGTCATCTACACAGCAATTCTCACTCCCTACTCCGCTGCTTTCCTTCTCAATGACACAGAGGAGCAGAAGAGGCGTGAATGCGGATACTCCTGCAGCCCTCTCAATGTAGTGGATTTAATAGTGGACATCATGTTCATCATTGACATCCTCATAAACTTCAGGACCACTTACGTAAACATCAATGAGGAGGTGGTCAGCGATCCGGCTAAAATCGCAATCCATTACTTTAAGGGCTGGTTCCTTATAGACATGGTGGCTGCAATCCCCTTTGACCTTCTCATCTTTGGTTCAGGATCAGATGAGGTATGTTATCTCTAATGCATGTATTTTTTTTACCTTCTTTTTTTTTTTCTCCCAGGGAGCTTTGCCACACATCATCCCGGCCATGCTTGCGCTGTTATCCATTTACTAACCCCAGACTTGTGCCCCTGGGCCACGACTTAAAGCCTGAATCTTTCTGTCTCGGCTCTGAAAGGATTACTTTAAATTGCATGTTATTTTTTTTTTCATACTTTTTTCTCTCTTTTTTTCTATTTTCTTTTTATTTTTTTTGAATGGTCCTCATTCTAGAATCCATTTACACGGATTAATGGCTTACCAAATGGCAATCAATGATGCATTTATGTGAGGCGCAGGCCAACGGGGCTGTGTGCACAGCTTACATGCAGATGTGAGATGGCCATTGGTAGGCCGGCTGCCAGGCCTGCTGGCTTGTTTGTTGGTAGGATATGTCCCCTCAGGCTCTGGATCCACATCAGTGCTTTATCGTGCTTTGTAGGCACTCCATTACACCAGAAAAGCTCCTGATTATAAACCATAATCATCTTTTCCACCACTGCTGCTGCTGCTGCTGCTACTGCTGAGTCAGTTCAGTGAATGACAACAAACCAAAAAGAAAATGGACGCTTGTTTCCCTGACAAGACAGAGTAACAAACAAATCCCCAAGGAAACCAATACAAATTATTTGACACTATTAACTTGATTTTAATTTTAAAAATTAACTTCAGAAGAAAAAAAAATAGTTGTTTCCCTTTCAGGTTTGTAAATAGAGCATCATATACTGTGATAGCATGTGGATGTATTGTTTGCATTTATAGATTACCAGCTTGGTGTTTCTAATTTTCAGACCGGGCACGCAAAGTCCCACTCAGCTGCACTCTCATTCAGAAAATAAAAGCAACTGAAACTGAGTGGCAGATGGTTTTCACAAGGCTCATTTAATTTAGCAGCTCAACAAGACGGTTTTAACCTACAAGCGCTTAAGTAAACCTTTTGATTGGAGCAGAGAATATATTTGAAATAGATTTCAATCAATGTCCTGTTGCTTTCAAAACAACTTAGTCTTGCCAGAAGATTGAACATACTGTGAGAGGCGTTATGCAAAATTGGCACCACGCAGTGTTTGTTAATGATAATAATTATAACAGAAATAGACAAACAAAAGATTTATTTCAAGCTGTTTCGCTGGCGGAAAAGAAGTTGAGTGCTCTGTCCCAACTTGAACCCCCTAAATGTTGTTCCCATTAGAGGAACAGGGTGAGGGGAGGCTGGGTTGTGATGCTGTGCAGCTGTGTTATGTAAGTGCTTGTTGAGGTGCATTTAAGAGACTTAATTGAACTTTGATTTGATTGTAGAGTGCACTGTGCTTGTTGGTTTCACCAATATTAGATTTTAAAGGCCAAATTTAATATTTTGTTTGTAATATTTCATGTTCTGTTTTTTTTAATTAGTTTTTCTGATGTTGTTAGAGGATTGATTTTGTAAACCCAGCAGTGAAACAGGCTATTATGAGCAGCTAACAAAGAAACAAAATACAGATTTTTCCATCAAACTCAGGCATTATATGTACATATAGCTCAAATTTAATCAGTGTGCACCCTGCTTGAATGCTGTCTCGCAATTAAATGGGCGTTATTATTATCAGAATGCCATTATCAGCCCATTAAATCTCTATGTTTATCGTTATGCACTGACAGAGGAAGTCAGGTGATGTAACGTTAGACTAATGGGCGAGAAATTCAACATAGGGAGGCAAGCAGGTTGACGGATGGGTCAAATACAGCTTTTCAACCAAAATATGTATTATGTATATGTATGCCTTTTTTAGGGGGGTTTTCAAAATGGCTAAACCCGCTAAAAATTGCCTAAGAACAGTGCTGTCTACACAGCCCTGCAGCAGACGAGCTTGTCTTTGCCATGCTTGTGTTTGGGGTTTTTATTTTGGTGTGTCACTTTCAAAATCTCTGACTTGTTCAGTCTCTCTTTTAAACTAGGTGCAGACTAATTTGGAGTATTAGCTGAGTGTTGGAGTTAGCTTAGCTTTTTGTTAGCATCAGCAAACCAGACCTTAGTCAAAAAAAGTTAAAAATAACATAAGCAATGGCCAATTTTTACATATTGTAATTTTGTTTAAACCCATTCAGGTGGCTGATGTGCCGGAGTCAAACTAATTATAAGTCATTAAGGGTGTCAGTTCCCTTGAGGGCAGCACTATAGCAACCTTAGACTCATACATAACTGCTCAATGCATATCATAATTGTTTGGGGGTGGAATAATGCAGCCAAATCTGGCATTTCAAACTACTTGCTTAAAGGGAGACTTTGGTATTTTTCAACCTGGACCCTATTTTCCATGTGTTTGTGCCTAAGTGACATATGAGAACAACAATTTTTGAAATGGTAGAGTATTGAGAAAGAGTGCTGCAGCTCACAGCTGTGGAAGGGGCTGAAATGTAATCTATTGGGGCAATTGCGTACCGTGACTGTTTGTCCACTGAAGGTGCTTGTTTTTGCCACTGACATGGTCAGATGGTTATTATAAGTGTCTAAAAAATGTTTTTCTTTATCTTTCACTGGATACAGTCTGTTTGTTATTGTGTAACCAAGTTTCGCTCAAGGGGAAGTCTTGTTGTGAATTCACATGAGTTGAGTTGTTGCAGGAACACAATAACAAAGTGAAAGGTAAAGATAAACATTTATTTACTTTTATTTCTCTATAGAGCCCATTGCAGAATGTCGTCAGATGCTTATAATAACAATGTGAGCCTGTCAGTGACCTCTTTAAGGTATCATTTGTAGTCATGATTAAATGATAATATGATTTCAGATAACGTGATTTCAAGTATGCGATTGGATGCAAACCTGAACCTTTAATGTCAAATGCAAATTTAACTTGACACAGGGGAAATGATCCCAAACCTTGGATAAACAATAATGTAGACCCTCAAAAACCAAGATGAGTCCCTTTCCAAAGCAGAAAGCTCACAGTATAGTATTGCGTTGCAAATCATGCTTTCTGTCAAGGTTTATTGACTCTGTGTTGCACAAATTCCTGCTTATGGCACCACTGTAACCAAGAGATATGGGGTCAGCACAGCAGAACAAAAGGAATGCTTGGGGGTGCATATTTTAAAAAGAACATCTATATAGACAAGTTGATAAATGCAGGATTTTCAAGGCCCAGACAACAGTCCTGACTTTGTATACTGAAAACCCAGTGAGGTTGTGGAGATGTTAGTTTCTCCAAAATGAACTCAGTGTGGGTGTATTGTGCACAATGCTGAATGCCAATGCTTTATAATGGTGGACAAATGTAGCGGAACTGTGGTTTAAACATCTTTAACTTCATTCAGTAAAGAAACACAATGAGGAGAGTGGCAGATAGATTTTCTTTTTCATTTGTCTTAGTTAGAAAATCAAGATTAAATACGATGCTAACAGTGCGGTTAGAACGGAGAGTGTGCAGACATTAACTTCATTTTCAAAGGTCATTCAGTAATTGTCAGGTAGATAAATGACTATGCCAATGGGAATGGTAGTTAGAGTTGCTAAAACCTTTCTTGATGACACAGAAGCAGCAACAAACTCCCAGGGAGTCACTGAATGAGTGTTAGTGCCTGTTTGGTGTTGAATAAATGAGGATTTATCTGTGGGCTGCTGCTGTCTTCACGTTTGTGTTCATTTGCCTTTGACCAAAGAGCTGTGGGGAGGTGCCACAGTGGAGTCTTTGTCTTTTCTCCACTATTAAGGAAACTCATTACTTCAGTTTGTGAAGTGACTCTCTTGATATGTCACTGCTTTAGATTTGTTGCTTACAAAGAGTATGTGTTAGAGCACACGGCTGTGGTAGGTATGCAACAAATATTATTTCCTGATGAGAGAATTGCATGACAAATGTAATGTCCAATGTATGGTGGCTGACAAGAGCAAATGCGCCACAACAGCCCAAACATTTCTATTAAGAGAAACATGCTGTAGCTTTAGAAATGATGCCAATTCAAAAACACTTATGACAATCCCCAAAAAATGCAATGATGGAAACATCCTGCAAATGAAAAATAACAAAACAAATACGCCAACAGCAAACACACTGCAAATACAGAAATGAGGCAAAGTCAAAAACACACAAACAGTAACAGAAAAATACCCAGTCAACACAACAGAAGTTCTCCTGGCCTCTAGGGGAGCACTAAGTGGAACTGCTTAATTTTTTACCTGACAATCGACATTTAAGTGTGTTTGTTTTTGAACATGCATGTATAGAGGCCTGGTTACAGTATTGGAGGCGCATACCCTTCATTCCTATAAATGTTGCTCAGTATCACATTTCTGCAGTATAGAATAACCCTAATCGTGTTATGGGGATAGAGCAAGCACACCAAAGATTTACAGCAGCCAAGTGCGGCCAAACAGCTAACTTTTACCAGCCAAATGGCTGACTTCAGTTTAGCGCTCTACTAACTTGAATGGGAATGAAATTATTTAATCATGCAGCTCCTCTAGACTTTCAAAATGTTATGGTACCGAATGGGTCAAATTTGGATAGTAAAGCAAGTCATTTCTCAGGGGTTGTGATGCTCAAAAAATGTATCCACAGATTTACAGATGTCTCTGGTATAAATATTAATTAATTGCCACCTGGAAATACACCCTGTTCAAAGAACTCAATTTGAATCAAAAATGGTGCGATTGTGTATATATGCCCTCAAAAAGGCAAACCCATCTCCATCAAGGTTTTGTTTTTGGAAAATAGTATTAGTCTGTAACACACTTGTATGCTTATTCTACAAAAACTACAAAAAAATGTAACTGTAAAAATAAAAAAAAATAATTAAACAATTTTCTTATGTAGTTATGTAATGATGACTGCTGGGTAGTATGGATAGTGATATTGTCCATTATCAAGCCTCTGTTTCAGGTAACAAGATAATACAATTTATAGTAGCTAGCAAAATCTGACAAACTGGGTATATCTGCAAGCAGATATAACATAAAAGCGGCAGTAAGACACACTGTATGTAAAATATATATACTGTATGGCTAAAACTGTGTGTGTGTGTGTGTGTGTGTGTGTGTGTGTGTGTGTGTGTGCTTCATAACTAATAACTAGGGTATACTTGGGCCTGTCACAATAGTGTGCACTGGGGCCCATTGTAACTCCCTTATGCCCCTGATGGAGTGATTCCAATTTGCCTACTATGTGAAATTGGCTTAAAGGCCCGATGCTGTTCTGGGGTCTTGTTTTAGAAGCAGGAAGAAACATAGAGTAAGGAGGTGACATAAAAAAAATACATACGTTTTTTCTTTTTTACACTTGGCGTTCTTCTGCCTCTAGTCTTTTACCATATTATAAAAGAGCTGTTCCACTTAACGCTCCCCCTAGAGGCCTGGAAAACTTCCATTGTGTTAATTGGATATGCAGCGTTTTTCTGTTGCATTTGTTTTCAGGGTATGTGTGTTTTTGTCTTTGCATCGTTTCTGTACATGCAGCATGTTCGCGAGCTACAATGAGCTACATGTCATTGCATTATTATATTATCAAAGTTAGTCTGACATATTAACATTCAAACTACTACTGCTGTTATTAATAAATTGCCTTACTGTACATTTTGTTTAGACCACCACTCTGATTGGCCTGTTGAAGACAGCCAGGCTCCTGCGACTGGTGCGTGTAGCCAGGAAGTTGGACCGCTACTCTGAGTATGGTGCTGCAGTCCTCATGTTGCTCATGTGCATCTTCGCCCTCATCGCCCACTGGTTAGCCTGTATATGGTACGCCATTGGCAATGTGGAGAAGCCCTACTTGGAGCACAAGATTGGCTGGCTGGACAATCTGGGCGTGTCCATAGGAAAGAGATACAACTACAGTGACCCAACCTCTGGTCCCTCTATCAAGGACAAGTATGTCACAGCACTTTACTTCACCTTCAGCAGTCTGACCAGCGTGGGCTTTGGAAACGTTTCCCCAAACACCAACTCAGAGAAGATCTTTTCCATCTGTGTCATGTTGATTGGCTGTGAGTATGTTATGATCTTTTTTTATTTTCTTTTAGCATCTGCTTTTATCTGAGGCGGCACTTGAAGAGGCTTCTTTTGATCAGATCCTGGACTACCTATTGCATGTATTCCCGTCCTGGGAGAGGAATCCCTCCTCTGTTGCTCTTCCTGAGGTTTATTTCATTTTTAATGGAATAAACCTCAGGAGGGGATTCTTCAGATTTTTTGAAGAGGGGTTGTATAAGGTACTTCTCCATAGTCAGTGCATAAACTACAGTAGCTGTCGGTCACCATGCTCCCAGTTTTGAGAGGCAGACAGTAATAGTACTACTGAGGAGGGGTCAACAACATATTGTATTTTAGCCACCTAATAAAATCAGTGTCACTTTAAGTGTACACTATTTTTACAATATTTCCACCAAGTAACCTTGTCTTCAGACAGTAATTTCCAGGGAACTGAAGCCATATCACTCTCTTTAAAGCCAGACTCCATTAAGAAAAACAGTAATTTACAGTAGCACCACTGAACACAGGAGCTGCTTGTTTACTGCTGCCTCAGTCAGTTAGTTTATGTTATTATGAGGTTTTGGCATTTAAAGATTAGTTTAGATTCACCAAAGTCACAGAATAACAACAAGCAACCTAACTGATCCAGGCAGCGGTTGCCCAGAAGCTCCTGTGTTCGGTGACCTAAAATCACTGTTTTTGTCAATGGAGTCTGGTTGCTTTGACTTCTCCATCGGAAAGGGCTGTTTTGGACAAGAAAACTGCATAAAAATATTCTATTTCTGTACATACATACGTACTCTTAAACTGTTACTGATTTCTTTTAGGTGAGACTTTCGTTAAGTGGCTGAAATATGTTTCACTGTTGCCTCCGTCCATAGCTGTGCATTGCTTAACTTCTGTGGTGGTACTCTGTTCTGCTTCTCCAAAGTGCAGGCGTGCCGACCGGCATCTATTGTAGCTAATACACTAACTTTGTATTGTACCTCATACAACCCCACTTCAAAAGATCCAAATTATCCCTTTAAGAGTTTTTTTTGTTTTGTTTTTTGAGGGGGGGGGGTCTTTACCTGAAAGCATAGAGGGCGTCTTATTCTGTACAGATCGTAGAGTCTCTTGGGGCAAATAAATTATTTCCAGCATTTGACTACGTAAATAAAAATGGACATGATTTGACTCGACTAGACAGCAGATTGTCTGAGTGTACATCAGCATTTTGTTCACATTTATTCGAGTTAACAGTGTGTCTCTGTGGGCAGAGGCAATTAAAATGCAAAGCAGTCTGTAGAATGAAAGTCACATCTTTTATTGATCATTGTCTGAATTGCAGCCCTGATGTATGCCAGTATTTTTGGAAACGTCTCTGCCATCATCCAGAGGTTATACTCGGGTACGGCCAGATATCACGCTCAAATGTTACGGGTCAAGGAGTTCATACGCTTTCATCAGATTCCCAACCCACTGAGACAGCGGCTGGAGGAGTACTTCCAACACTCCTGGGCCTACACCAACGGCATTGATATGAACACGGTAAGGATCACTACATCTATCTGCTACTGTAACTTGATAGCATCCCCAACAAAATGAACTGATCTCATTAAATGATTGTAGAAATAATTCTCAAAAGAGCTTTCTTTCTCTTGTCTGCTTTCCATCGGGATTAACATCTCTACATTGGTAAGAGCAGGAGGTACATGTTTTTATTAATATGTTGTCATTTTCATGGCACCGTTTTAAAGTAACAAACCCACTGTCATTGTGTCAGTGTTAGAAATTCCCATCATTTAATGCATGATTTGTGTGAATTAATCTAGTTATAGAGCATAGTTTCATATCTCCAAGCAATGAAATCATATTCTAGAGCCAAGAAGCATGCACTGAAAACAGCATTTTGTCTCATTTCAATTTCATCTGACCACGTCACCAGAAAATAATGTGAATGTTATGCTCATAATTCATTTTATGTTCAAGTAGATAATTGTGATTGCCCTGAGTTTGGGATTGTAACAGTGCAAGGTTCATTCCCAGGTATTTTGATAGAAACTCCCTCTCAATTTTCTATCAATTCAAGAAATAAATGTTGGTCATTTAAGGCAATAACCATATATTAATTGCATACTTTCTAATTACAGTTTTACATTCATATGAATTAGCTCCTCGTCCATCATTTAATATAGGATATACACAATATATATTTTTCTACTTTAGCAAGTTATGTAAAAAATACATATATATATAGATACTGCAAGCAGTCAATTCTTTCCTTTAAGGAGATACATTCACCAAAAGTCTGGATCCATGGCTTCTACAAATGAATGGATTTAGGGCATAAAAATGGTGGCTTCTTTGTTGCTCTTATTTATCACACAATACATTTTGTCCTCACTCTGTTATTATGTGTTAGCAGTTGAAGAAAGGAAAGAGACAAAGCCAAAACTGAGCAGGCTTTTTGTGTTTAGCTCAGGGGGCGGTTACATAAATCCAGGTGGCAGTTATTTTTACATACTACATCTGTTGTGCAAATCCCACATCAGTAATTGTTACATTTGGATGTAATTTCTATGAATGCATCTTGAGTAAAGGAGCTCTATGCAATTCAGAGCATATCTATGATTCAGAGTATGAATCATGAGTACTGGGTTCTCAACACGGAGGTGGCTCAGCTGCCGACTAGCAGCTAACAGGGCTAACAGTGTGAACGGTGCTTACAACGGAGTGTGAGCGATGCACTTATTCAGTGTTGCTGCTCCGCCTCCATGGGTATGGACAGGGTTATGCTGCGTTCACAGTCAGGCAGACCAAAGATAGCAAACAGGGAACTCCTTCTGGACAGCACAAGAAAAATAAAGTCTGACGTAATGGCAAGATGGTTAAAAGAAACATGCATGACGATATGTTACAATAGTGACGCTGCATTGTTTAGAATAGATAGAATATATTAAATAAATAATTTTGTATTTATTATTTTATGTAGTTTTACTAGAAATATCCAGTAATTGTCCAGGTTGCCTGTGTTTTGACCTTGCGTGAAGGAGCTACGTAACATCTAGTTATAAATTATGGTTGATAGGTTCAGAGACCGCAGGCGGATCGTTTACCACATAGAAAAACAGAGAAGCTCAGATAACAACACACAAAGAGGGAGCATGACTTCATTCTCTGTTCAGGATGCCATTACTCCACTATGTCTTTGCATAGCAAACACTTAGCTGCAATATTAATGCACTGAATGTTGCATACAGCTCCTTTAAGTAACACCGGAGTGTCCTATTACGATTAAGATTTTCCCTCCGATGCACTAAAGATGTGATGTATCTGTATCAGACAGTGTTTAATGGGTCTATGACTTCATACCACGTTTGTTTTCATCCCATGTCCTTATCTCTGAGCCGTTGTCACGCTTAATTACAGCTTCTCTTAGTAAAAGTACATTCATCTCAACACATTTGCAGCTCACAGCTTTCCACTGGCTCGCGGAACGATTTCTTTAAGGATATCAGACTCAATATTTTGTGCATGTTGCTCACGTTTTTTCTCTGCATCCCAGGTGTTAAAAGGTTTTCCTGAGTGCCTGCAGGCGGATATCTGCCTTCACCTCAACAGGAATCTACTTCACAACTGCAAGGCGTTCCAAGGAGCCACCAAAGGCTGCCTAAGGGCCTTGGCCATGCACTTCAAAACTACTCATGCCCCTCCTGGAGACACTCTGGTCCACAGTGGTGATGTGCTCACCGCTCTTTACTTTCTATCCCGCGGCTCTATTGAGATCTTGAGAGACGACATTGTGGTAGCAATCCTGGGTAAATACATCTCCTTTCTGATTATGTGAAGTGTGATAATGGGCAACACTAGGTACTGAGTGCTGAATTAATAAGAGACTGTTATGTATATCCTATAAAAAGCTAAATATGTTATGGGTGGATTTATTTTGTCCTTTGACCCAAGATAGATTGTTTTTTGTCTGACCTTTTCACCAGTGTCATCATGAATGTGAATCATGAATGTAGTGGCAGTCTCTATTGTTCTGAAACCTCCAACTATCACCAAGAGGTGTGAATAACTGTGAAAGTCACCTCCCTGTTGTATTGGAGATCTGTCAGCTGATTGTGTGTTGAATGTCAGCGTCAAACCTGTTGAGACAAAGAAAAAAAACGTTATTCTGCTGCTTTTGGTCAAGTCAGATCTTGGAAAAACAGAAATGGTGGTTCAAACTCCTATTATTATTATTCTTTCCAAAAGTAAATCTATTGTCAGTGCTATCAGTATGCTAAGATTTAGCCTTTGGATTATAAAAGGGGGCACTTACATAAAGGTCACTAATATCCAAGTATGCTTTTCAGAATGTAAGGCAATTGCTAGAAAACACACCTTGCCTTTAACACACATGTTTGCCTTTTGCCTTTTGTGAAAGCTTATTAATTATGTAGCTTGTTGTGATTGATTGAAAGATTTGAATTATTGATTGAGGTAAGGTCCCACTCGGCGCAGGATGCTTGATATTTTCAAATACACGGCGATGCTACTGTCATGCGCTCAGGAAAGGAGAGGCAGTGCAGTTTCCCAATGGGCACGCACTATTTCAACACAGTAATACTTACAAGGAGGCTCAGCATGACTTGTGTGCACATCAAAGAATTAACTGTTATAATGTGAGTCCCTCAAATGTGAATAATTTTCAGGGTTACTGCGGCAGCTTAACCACTTTCGTGTTCACACATTTTGACAAGAATGGCAAGGTGTGCCTGCCGTCCCCCATTTCTGTCCTCTGGGCAATAAGGCTGTCCGTGTGGCAGGTTTGAGACGCTGACATTTCTATTAAGTGGCTCCATGAAAGGCTGTTTGGCAATTTCAAAGAACACAGTGAAATAGCTGCCACTATTTTTGACAGCACAGGGAAATGAGTTAAAGCTCCAAAATAGGGATTATTAAAAAGGGCAGAAAAAGACTCAACTGACTAAAAGAATCAACTGCTCTGTGTGAAATGCTGTTTTGCCTCAGTGATATACAGCAGTGATACTGAAGACTCATTGCTCTGATTAGAATAATGAGTATTTATCTTTTCCTCACGGGTGAACCACAGCCAGGTGCTACAGGCCAAGCCTGGATTAAACTTGCCATTATTCATGAGATGAATGCTCTCCAAAGCTGCACCTGACAGAATGGGGTTTAAGCTTAGCAAAAACTGCTGCATCACACAAAACCTATTATTAACAAACACACTGGTAAAGTCACTGATCTCATAGATCAGCTCGTTTATATTTGATTCAAACATAATGCTCCATCAGCAGCATTTTGCTCCAATTTGTGAAAACCAAAGTGTCCCAGCCTCTAACAAGGCAGCACTTAGGCAACAGCGCTAAAGCATTTTCCTCTTGTAATGATACCGAGTCCAACAAGGCCACTAGCATTGTTCAGCAGGTGAGGAATTAGTCTCTTACGCTGCCATCCAGGCTAATGACGAACTAAATCCTTGTGCTGAAAGCTGCATGTGGGGGTGAGATACACCACTCTGTGTGAGGCTGTCCTCTGTGGTAGAAAGGTGTCCAGCGCATGCTGTGAAAGGCACACTGGCAGCCAACATATCATATCTCTTTCTCCTGAACCCCTGCTTACAGTGTTGGCATTTGGTGAACTCTGGGACCAACAAAGGGATGTTTCATCTCAGACTTTAAATCACACCTATAGTCCTTGTGCAAAAAGGACCCTTATTTCGACAGAGGAAACTCTGATGGTAGACTTCACAACTTCCTGGAAGTTTGCTGAAGAACTGGCCTCATTATGTGATAGCCATTATTAACACAAATTTCTCTTTGAAGTACACAAGTGTGTCAATCACAATCAAACCCTCCTTTCCTTCCACATGAGAGTTGCTTTGAGTTAGCCATTATTCCTCAGCATAAATAATGGATCAAAGTTAGAAAAACAACCGATGCACAGGCCTTGGGAAAACATCTAGACAGAGAGGGAAGACTGTTTGAGTTTTATTATCCACAAAAACAAACACGTCTGTGCCCTTTTAGTGAGAGCCTGAGGAATTGCGAGATAAGTCCCTACAGGAAACAAGACACAAATTATTCTCCATAATGCGCACGACTACTTGTAGAAGCCGGTGCAGGTAACACTGACATTTTTCCCCATCCCAGTGAAGCTTTAGAGAAGATTTACTGTCTCTGTGTGTGTTGATACCAGGAAAAAATGACATCTTTGGAGAAATGATCCACCTCTTTGCCAAGCCTGGGAAGTCCAATGCTGATGTGCGAGCTCTGAGTTACTGCGACCTGAGCACCATTCAGAGAGAAGATCTGCTGGAGGTTATAGACATGTACCCAGAGTTTGCTGACTCCTTCTTCAACAACCTGGAGCTCACCTTCAACCTCAGAGATGAGTCTCCAAAGGTAGATGATATACTGGTGGTAAGGGACCTACATCTTCCTACAAGTATTCACATTGTCATTACTAAACTCATTCAAAGTTATATTATTCTATTTGTAGTATATTGCAATATTTTATTAATTTTCTAACAATTTGAAAATGTATGAATATTTGTCACTAATTGTGTTGCAATCCAAATTCCAACAAAGTCGCGTGCTGTGTAAAACATAAATAAAAACAGAATGCAATGATTTGCAAATCCTTTTCAAATATATTCAGCTTAATACAGTACAAAGACACTATATTTAATGTTCTAACCGATAAATTTTGTTTTTGTAAATATTAGGGCTGCTCTCGGCATCGGCATAGTCGTCATTTAGGGCCATTAGTTGACTAGTCGCCTGCATGTTTACTCTATTAATCAGTTCCTTGAATTATATATTTGGGGCTTGGCGACACAATGGTTTGAGTTCAAGGTCTGAGATAGAATAGTATCAGTAACATTGTTAACACTGTGCTACATTACAGAGAAATACAAAACCGTACTAATGAACCTTCATTAATATAGGCCTATATTTTATCTACAAGTGCACGTCACACACTGAGCGAGCCGCCTGTTAATGACGCTGTCGGCAAAGCAGTAATGATTGTGCTAAGTGGCTAATGGGCATGTAGCTACTTCCATGTTTCAGATGATACGTCATGTTTGTAGTCGACCAATGAAGATGAGTTTACATATCACCTTGGGTTCGTCCTTCACCTTCTCAAAATGATCCCACACTTTGGATTTCCTGCCTTGACATGTTATTAACTAGCCTGTGGAATAATCGCAGGTACCAGCCCTGTAAATTAGGGGCCGTACAAATGCCACGTTTACCGCCTGGTCGGGTGTTGGGCGCTCCTCTTTTGTACCTTTTTCGTGCCAGCTTTCAAGAGTGTGGCAGCAGGATGCGTCTGAGGTTGTTAAGCAACCTTAACAAGCACCATATCATAGTCTATTTACCTGAAATCCTGAGTGTAGAGCTGATGCTCTTTCAGGCGCTGTTTATAAGTGTGTAGGCCTATCGTCCGTGGGACAGATGTAAAGCTCTGGGTAGCCCTGCACTAACATGATCTGTTTTCTGATCTGATTTCTGTATTTATCAGGCTGAATATTTACTGAAGAAGGGAAAGATATCTGTTGGCTGTAGCTGGTTCCTAACGTGACTCCTGTCTGACTGCTGAGTGTGGCCTCTCCCTGTGTCTGTCCTTTCAAATTAAATTCTCACGTTGTCCGGTCATATAGGTTTTGATTTATTTTGGCAAGGCGCAGCTCGTAATAGAGTTTCACGTTTGTTTGGGTTTTTTTTCTTTTTTTTTCTGGAACTAAGCAACCAATTAAATTATGCCGACCTTTCTGCTCGACTAACGTTTGGTCGACTGTTAGGGGGCAGCCCTACTAAGTATACACCACATTTGATGCCTACAACATTCCAAAAAAGCTGGGACAGGGGCATGTTTATCACTGTGTCCATCACCTTATCTTTTAACAACACTCAGTAAGCATTTTGGAACTGAGGACACTAATTGTTGAAGTCTCAAAAATAAAACTTCCTACTCAATAGGCCAAAATCCCATCTGAACACCATGAGACGTTAGTTTCTTCATACAGAAAGCATCCAGAATCTGGCATTGCAAACAAAGACTCCTATGAGAATTGAATTAATTTCAGTTACAAGTTCAAATACTTTTTTCCCTGTATCATTCCACTTTATTGCACATAATTTTTATGGTTTTAAACATTAAGATTTTTTTTACCGTGCACTGTTATTGAGCTAATTCCAATGCCAGGTCTAAATTTCATGTGAATAGCTGCATTGGAAATATGTGTAATGAAAAAAAATGTTGACAAGTGAATATTTATTTACCCCCACTGTGTGTTAAAAAGGATTTGCAGATCACTGTATTCTGCTTTAATGTATATTTTATACAGCGTCACAACTTTTTGGGACTTTTTTCTTGTAAATAGTAGATTCTAACGCTCACATTGTTGCAGCCCTCAGGCTCACAAGGTGGTGATTCAGATGGCGAGGGCAGTAAGAGCATTAAAAGAAGGATTTCCTTCACACCAGATGTGTCTAAAGGTAAGTGGAAACTAAACCGCATAGGACCAGTACAGCTTATTGTGGTTGCAAATGTGTTCGCTGTTATTGTTTACTGAGTGGAGCTCCCTGAGAGCATCTGTTCCATAAGGAATACACTACAGTGTTATTTCACTGACTCCTGTTGATTGCCGTTCTACAGGGGAAAACAAGGAAGTGGTTAAAGACTTGAGGAGGGAGAGGGGATCTAACTCGTGCCTAAAGAGAAGTTCAGAAGTCCTCAGTCCCTCTCCACACAATGCCCCAGCCCTGGGCTCAAATCTTATTGTCAGAGACAACGTGGAGAGACGACCGTCTTTTGAAGGTAATACATTTTGTTTACTGATAACTATGCTAATATAATCTTTGCTGTTTTGACAAGAACATGTAAACAAGTGTTGCTAGGGGTTCCTGGGTTGTGCAGGGCAAGGACATACAGTAGTAGATGACGATGGGAAGCCAGTGAGGGATCTTGTCCTTGTTGCTGCAAAAGCAACTCCCATTGGATAGATGGAGCTGATGTGTGAAGATGGCTGAGATTTTTCCAAGCTTCCAAGGCTGATTTGAGTAATAGATCCATGAGTTTAATGGCTTATCTTACAGCATAAGATAAGACAGGATTTTCCAAATTAGGGAGAAGTATGTATATCATAATATGCTCAACATAAATTCATTCTGCACATTAGTGAGCAGACAGCCAATAGGCATACACACTGAGCATAGTCCACTTGCTAGCTTGGGAAACATATTGTAACACCGTACCAGTATTAACACTTCACTTTATTGAGGACATGCATTAAAAGGTAACAATAACGTCAGTATCTCATTTTGCTTAAAAGTGTTCCAACCCACCGCAGATTTGGCAATGTTGACTCCATGGTTATGGCCTTAAGTTGAATCAAAACATAGTTTAATATGTATAATCACCTTTCAACCCTTTATTGCATGTCTATTGCAGTGCACCATCATATTTAAGAACAGCCAATCCACTGCCCCACTTTATACCATAGAGACAATGACACTGAAGCCGAGAACAGCCGCACTTGCAATTATTCTTTATTGCCGATATCTCTAGATCAGTTGATTATTTTGTTATCCCAAGATAACGAGACAGTCAACCCGTTATCATGCGAAATGAAAAGGTCATTTCCTTTTATTGCTTAATGTTTATCAGAGATCAGGAGTGTCATGCCAGATGGATAGATAACATCCTGACAAGTGCAGCCACTCATTTTAGCTGAACATGTCAGATCAAGGTGTATCTATTATTGATTAACATATCAGACTGAAGTTCAGTCAAGGTTGAGTTCAGTTATAAATCCTCCCCAACAGTCATGACAGTGATCTTGAAGCTCAAATCAGGTGTGATCAAATTAGGCAGGCATTTATTTTGAATTATCCTGTGATCTCGATTAAACCAAAATAGTTTTCTTGTGATGAATTATCTGGTTATCATGAGAAATCTGTCTTTTGTTTTCTCAAGAATCAACATAAATTTACCCGTTACCACAAGAAAACAAGCTTTGTTATATTGAGATACTGAGATAATTAACTTATGATCTTTTAAAAAAAAGTTACATCTGTCCCACGGACGATAGGCCTACACACTTATAAAGCACAGCCGCTTCCAGCTTCGGTACTGTAATGTGGCATACAGCTAAGAAAGACGTGATTTAGCTCTCTCACAATTTTTAAAGTCTTTGTCGTAGGAGCTTCACATGTCTGACATTCATGCCTGTATTAATCTTCCTGAGACCCTCACAGTTTGGGTTTGGACCTTTTACTTAATTCTGCTTAACTTAGACCTGTAGTCCTCATTTGTGGACACTTTTTGTACCATCTAGTCGTAGCAAAAGCACAGGACACTAATCTATGTAAAAACAAGATAGCAGCTATTTCTGCCAAGTCAGTCTGCAGCCGATCCCAACACAAAAACGGACAAGGTCCAAAACCTGATCTCATTTAATGGTTGAAACTTGTTTATTTGTGATTAATAACGTTTGTAGTTTGATATGCCATTGCAATTTTAGCAATGGTAACAAGCTAAGATGCAGTTAATTAGAAAATACTCATTTGAAGAACACTGGAACTTAATCATCATCTCGTTTTAGGACATCAGGACTTTATTCTTATTAGGTCCTACTAATCCCAATTAGCTTGGAGAAATTAAAAATGCATACCAAACAAAAGTTGGGGTCTGAGGAGGATAAAGGGGCCCACCTTTTAAGACGTACATTTCCTATAATGAAAAGTGTCTCTTAATAAGGCAGTATGCTTGACATTGATCAGCAATCTCAGTTGCTCTAAAGAGGCAGACACACCAAACCGACATTAAATAACTAACTGCAACAAAAGCCAATTGTTGCGTCACCCCACGTCGCCTGTGCCTCGACCAAAAAGTTGAGCACACCACAAAGACTACAGCCAATGGCCAACCAGCACGTACATGTCATGCCTGGGTGAGAGGAAATAACTCTCCACACCAGTAGATGGTGGTAGTCTCTGGCTGGAGAACAATAATCTGACCATATATTACAAGTTTGTTTCGATCTCACTTCCTCTTGAATTTTGCGATTTGTTTACTTTCCTCACTTCAGTTTTTCCTCTTGTGCGCTGAGCTCCACTGCCAGTCAGACTAATTTTACTTACAGATGAGCTCTGCCGTCAATGTTGCTGATTCAACATGCTAAATCAGTGCGGAATACACCACAAAGGCTGTAACGATAGACGCTCAATGACAGTACAACATCAACCAATGGCCAACCCTCGGCTTGGTGTGTCAGGGTCTTAATGAAAACAGTCAAAGAATTTTTTTTTTTAAAAAAGTGGAATTTCCAAACTTACAAGAGTGTGGCTCAGAGCTCTAAAATACACTACAATAACCAAAGTGATATACAAATAGCCAGATTTTGCATGGGTAAAGCCCATCACGCTGACAAGCCAAGAAGTACAGGACAGACAGTAGAGGACAGAGACAGAGGAAAACAAAAGAAATGGATGACAGACTAAAGCTATTGTTAACCTCTACTGCTGGAAAGACACAGGCCGCATGAGGGCAAAGGTAAGTGCCATCCATGTTAAAGGCACATCACGCTAGTGCAAATCCTCCTGCACAGACTGCTGTACCAGATAGTGTAATCACAGAACTCAGCGTTTAAAATCACAAAAGAGGCTCAACACATATCACTGGACAGCAAGCTGAATACTAACAGGTGCTTAGCAGAGATAACAACAGGGTTAGTTTGCTACTAGAAAACATTGCATTAATTCTCCCAGTACAAGGACTTGATAGATTACATCAAAGAGCCTACACACAGCTCTCCTAGAGATTAATTACGTTCTATTTTAGAGGGGGGTTTTTTGTTTAGTGATGACGTTGTTCTGACCCACATGTGAGGATGTAAAGCATGCGTGTTGGTTTGGCTCTCCAGATCTGTGCTGTGATAAATGGGCCTGTAAGAAGCCTACAGACTACCTGGATGAGTCAGCACAGTTCCAGGACCTGAGAGAGGACGATAATTCTGCCAGCGAGATCACGTATGGAGAGGTGGAACAGCGCTTAGGTCAGCTTCAAGAGCACTTAAACAGGTACATATTTTCAGAGTCAGCATACAGATGGTTGATTCTCATTTAATTGTCATTAACTGTGCATTACACCAGAAGGTAAGCTTTACTGGTTTGTAAACCAACGAATGATAAAAGTGTTTTTTTTAATTAAAAAAAAAAAAAAAAAAAAGCTCCTAGTCTCAATGGTTTCTTTGTGTCACCAGTGCAGAAAGTGTTTTTTTTATCATAGCTTTATCATTTCAGTCTAATAACTCATGTCAGACGGTGGCATTGGTTGAAATTTGATGCCCACTCACTACACTTGGTGTTAGGACACAGTGTAACTGTTTACCAGACGGACCTGGAGACTGTATCAAATAATGGTAGATATCATCTTGCCTCATGTCAGTGCCACGTGCAGGATAGCTGTAACCGGAACAGATAGAGAAAGAGCACACACAGAAATACACCAGTAATGTAATTTAAACAGGGGTCTTTTTTTCTTCAAGCACTTTAAGTTTGGACACTTTAACAACATTTTGCGGATAATGCTGAATAAATTCGATTTGAAGTGGAGCACTTACAGTATTTTTATATTATTGTTCTTGTAATTTTATTTAAGTAGATGTTTCTTCTGCTGCTGTTTGTCTGACACAGTAGCCTAAGTGGTTGGAAATAGGCTGAAATAGTCGAAACCTTGACCAAATTGACTGAAATTTGATCCTCAATGTCATTCTTTTGCTGAAGTGGGTGGTGCATTTGTTTCTTTACCTGAATCCATCTGTATTGTGTATTTATGTCTTGTCTTCAGCTGCACCAGGGAAAGCCAGGAGGCACAGTTAACTCCATAAAAGCCAGAGTAATGAGCACGATTCTGCACGTTTGTTGTTTAAACCTACAGATGTTTATCTCAAATTGTTGGCAAGTTCCTAAAGTTACCAAGGAGTGAAAGGGATTGATAAAATGTTTTTGCAGAAGTGCGTAAAAGCACTTTTTCAGGCGCAAGGGCATCACATTTTTATAGTTTTTGGTCATATTCGGAAAAAATACAATTAAATTTGTGATCTTCTTATTATTTATCCTACCATTACATTTTCAGTTTGTGACTTAATGATTATGGAGTGCTTCATTTTTTAAAGTTGTCACCTCCCACACTGCTTAAAAGTAAGCCACACTTCCTCTGCGATCACTGGCAACGCTTAGTTCAATTGCCAATGTACATGAGTAGGTGGAGGAAGGCAACTCACTGGCAGAAGCTGTTGTCGGACTCAGAGTGGGTGGCTGGATCTACTGGAAGCAGGATGTACCGCTGCAGAACCGGAACATATTAAACGTGAGAATGGATTGGTAAAACATTTTGCAGAGCAGTAATCAGAATCTAATACTGATGACTGAGAACAAAATGTGCCTGAAACATCTTGGAATAAAAGCCACTCTCTTGCTAAGCTCACTGTAATTGAAAGGATAGATATGCAAATGAGCTACCTTTGCTGCGTTTTACAGTCTCATTATTTTCTGTAGTGGAAGATCGCATTGGCTGTAGTTTTAACAACACACCTGCAGCCAGCAGGCCACCTGAAATAGACACAAATGAACAGCGGGTGGTATTTTTAGCTGGAATTATTACAGAGAACGAGGGACAGCATCACGGTGCTGGAAATACCGGGCTGGCTTATTTTATTTAGCACAAATAAGACATTTTATCCATTGCACTCTACCTGACCTTGTTTTTTTCCCTAATGCTAGCTGGCTGCAGGATGAGCAGCACTTCTCTGTCATTTTGTGTTTTTGTGGCTTTGACTAGTCTGAAAGGATATGACAAAGAAAAAAATGTTGGTGTAGCATTCTCTTCAGCAAATACATATAAATAGCCAAGAAAAAAAAATCAGTGCTGCACCTGTAATGAATGTCTGCTGTGTGGCTGCTTTCACTTTGTCCCTCATCGGTCATAACCTGGTAAACAAACGCTGCCTCTTTATGATGGAGTAGCACAGTAAACCAGGGACCTAACATTCGTCAATGTTTATGTACATTAGTGGGAACACAGGTAATTAAAGGGTTATTCAGCATTACCTAATTTTGCCTGACAGCCTAAATATAGACCTTGGCTGAAGTCTACTCATAATTAGATTGACCAAATGAGTGTGATGCAGTCATTTCCACAGTAAATGCTGAATTCACACCTCCCACAGAAAGCTCATTATCACTCCAAGCATGAGCAGCGTCTTTCGTCTACTACTCTGGCAGAATGTGTTTCCACACTTGTACCATCTCATTTGTCCACTGAGGAGCACAAGCTCCATCTAGTGCTCAGTGAAGTACAACTGGGTGTGTTTTCAGCTATTACACTATCAAGATTTGTCAGAATTATGCATGAATCTCCTCCTGCTTGTGACTTTTTGTATCTCTCACTTCGTTTTTTTCTGTTCTTTTTTAGGCTGGAGACGCAGTTGATGACAGATATTCAGACCATCCTGCAGCTGCTGCAAAGACAACCGACTCTGGGACCTCCAGCCTACAGCACTGTGACTGCCAGTCCAGACTATCACAGACCTGCCGTGAAGGTTCAGCCAGTTGCTCTGACTGCAAGCCATTTTTTCAGCCATACGGGAACTCAAGTAAGGAAGTTTTAGGAGGTAGAGACTGTTCTCCCCGCCCCAAAGTTACTTTGGCACATATGTTCATCAAGTATCACATTTTTTTCTGGCAGAGCACTGACATCGTGCATCAGCTGGCTTTTACATTCAACAATCACATTCTCACCAAGTCATCCGTGGTGTTCAAGCAGACAATGAGGCAGTCTCTATAAACTGACAAGCTCCCACTGTTTCATATTGCTTTGCTCCAACCTGTTTTGATTGATTGGGTTGTCTGCCACCATGTTTACCAGAAAGTCTGGACAATCACGGGAAATAATCTGAGCCACTGTCTGACACCATCGGAATAAGCCTCACCCATATGGGAGTCAATACAGGCTAAAACAAGTCGTACAGTTTTACGTATGTGGAACTGTTTGTCTCGGCATATTTTTTAGACTGTTCACCCCAGACTTAATTTTACAAACAGTAGTTTGTATTTAGTTTTTAAATATTACTATAGTTGCTTTTTTCTGTAAATTATGACATCACATTCACATTCACATTCTGAGTCATTTTTTGTTAACTTTTTTTCTAAAAGTAGGTACCAAGTTGATACAAAATATTGATGAAAAACAAAATGTTGATTAATAAACCTGATTCTGAGTTAATACAGGTCCGTTAAAGGAAGACATAGATATTTTCTTTTAACCAGGACCCTATTTTTCCATGCTTTTGTGTCTAATTGACAAATAAAAACAATAACTTTAGAAATTGTTGGAAATTGATCCAGAGTTGAATGAAATGGCTACAGCCGGCAGATCCAAAATAGGCTGCAATGTAATGGCTTGGGGCAATCATGCACAGGTAATTAAGGTCCACTTAGTTCAATCTGGGTAAATGTGATCTATAACTCTGTACGCACTAAAGTCACTGTGAATTTAAAATGCAGCCTGATGGGTTTGGCCATAGCGATTTTAGGACTGTTCCTGGTTAAACAAAAAGGATCTCAACTCTTTGAAAAATAGGTCTATCTCTGTAGGGATCCTTTTTCATAATGATGTCAGACATTTATAATAACAATAAGAGCCTGTCTATGGCAAAAACAAACACTTTCAGTGGATGTAAATTGGCAACAATGATGTATATTTGCCACAAGTAATTACATTGAAGCCTCTTTCACCGCTGTTGGCTACAGCACACTCTCTCAATACTGGACCAATTTCAAAAACTATTGTTCTCATTAGTCACTTAGACGCAAAAACATCTGAATATAAGGTCTAGGTTAAAAAAAACTTGGCTCTATTTTAACTCCATTGCAGGCAACTAAGTTGTATATTCTGCTACTGTTCTTTTTAGGGCCCCAACCACAAACTGGAGAGGGCCATTCAGGAATCCAAAGACTCTCTGTCAAGCTTGGCCAATGTGAATGCACCCATCGAGGGCAGCCTTACAGCATTGCTCGTACAAAGACATACAGAGCCACAGCAGCAACAACAGCAGCAACAACAACAACAGATCACAGGGCATCAACAGTCTGCACTGATTCTTCTTCCAACTGAGACCTCTTTGACCTCCTCCACCTCTTCGTCTCCAGCCCCTTCTGACTCCAACCTCAACACCACTGGACTCCACAGACCGGTCTCAGACCAAGAGTTTCCAAGGCCATAAACCTTCCAACAGCACGGTGTTCTACTATCTGGGCTGTAATGCTGTAATTACTTTATAAGTAGCAGTTTTTTATAGGCATGCTGGCACAGACATCTGTATTGTTCATTTGCAATGGCTTGGCGATAGTAGTAAGTTGGGTTTTGTTTTTTTTTTCATTATGCATGTGGATAAAATACTGTTCGCTGCAGTTAACAGTGTGTTAATCAGTTTTCTGCAGTTATCAGTGTATTAGCAATGGTTACATATTGTAACAGTAGTTCTATATTCACACAGAAGCCCTCTTATGGACTTTTTAAGCACCACACACTAAAAATGTACATGTAGATGCCGAACCAATCAGGATGAATCATTCCTCCACACAGAGAGTGGCCCTACAGGATGACAGCACTTTCCCATTTACTACATCTACAGCTTCCTAACTTAATTTAAATTAAGCAGCAGGGGTGCTGGTGAAAGAGCTCCACTTGGTTGTGATAGAACTAGCACTACAATTAGTGGTGTAGTGGTAGCTGATTAGGTGGGTGTAATTCTATGTAGATGGGTAGGTTACAGAGGAGAAAATGGGTATACTCATATTCCAATGGCTTTTTGGTTGATAGGTGGATATACTGTAAACAGCCAGAAAAAGAGGAGGGTAAACCCTGTGTACCTGCATATACCCTGCACTACGCCATTGACTAGTTACAACACCTAATCAACTTTGTGTTTCACCCAGGCATTGTACTCTAATGGGCTCTAATGGACTCTGAACCACGCTTTGTGACTTAACATTTTATGTCCCAATACACAATTGGTCACACTAGGCTGGGCTGAGTGGACTACAAGGCTAGAGTCAGCCATAATGCACATTAGGCTTGGGTGGTATCAAGGTATTACAGTATAACGGGATATTTAGAAATCCTGAAGGTATGCTTGTAAATACCATCAAAAATGCAGATGCTCCTCTTTCTATTAAACTGATACGGAGATGCTGTACTGAGGTGATGCATTGTAGAGCACAGAACGCACCACCAGAGGTCAGTCTCTACTGGTGGAACAGGCAGCTAAGCTGAGAAAGATGGCGACTGCGAGTGGTAGGGAAAACGTTACAGGACTGCCCCTGTTCGGGAGTATTACCACATATAACTGACTAACATATATCATATATATCAGTCATATAACTATGACTTCTTTTAACAAAGCAGTTTATGAGCCACATGATTTTATTCAAAACATCATTTCCAGTCAGTCTACTGATGTGTTGGTAACTGCCACAGCAACAATCGGCATCAGTCCCTCCAGCATGAAGGGCGCCTATTTCTTATGTACTCAATATTCTATGGGCCCTAAGTATTAAACACAGCAATTCTTGTCTAGGTAAGCTAACTGCATGTTAGAAATACAGCATTGTAAGCTAGGTAATGAGTAACATTCTACAATGACCTCTATCACCTCTAGCTCAGCTTTTATGTTTTTTTATTGTTATTGTTTTGTTTTTACACAAATACTGTCATATAACGTATACCCTTGTGAAATGTCAGCAAGGTATAAAGGTATGAAAAAATCGATACCACCCAAGGATAATGAGCACAACACCTACTGTTTGCAAAGTGGGTTTGCACTATCACACAAGCACCAGTCTAACTACATCACAACTTTTTTTGTGGACACTGAGAAACAGGCCTGACAACCTTGATCATCAGACAAATGTGTCCCTCCTTCAATCAATACTTGCTAAGCAAGAGGTGCTGACTGACCCACATACTTCACACTAGACGAGTCCCAATGTCCAGCTCTCAGATACAAAGATGGGGTAAGAGTAGCTTCTCAATACCCAGGCTACTACTGTACCAGTAAACCAAGAAGTGCATGCAATGTATGATTCCTCACCATCTCTGTAAAGGGACTTATTTCCTTCCTAGTCCAGCAGAAGGCGAGGGTGACTAAACCCCTACTGAAGGTCTCACAACTTCTCCAAAGTCCTGAGTGCAGGCCAAGAGCAAGACAAAAGTAAGTCACCAGACAGACAAGGTGACAATCGGAAGCCACCAGTCCTTCACCACCAGTACTCCTTTGCAGAAAGCAAGGGAAGGAGGCAGTAAAAGACCACACAAAGATCACCCCACTGTACATAACAGAGATCTAGGGTCCCAGAACAAACACTGCCAAGAGAGTTCCTGTCCATGACTGAGAGAGAAGTGAAATGTCTTTGACATAATTGACAGTGATCTTTTCCTTGGTCAGATTTTGCCAACAACCTTCAAGTCAACTTTTCCCACACTTTCATGTCTGTAGTGAGAAGAGGGAAAGGTTACATCTCCAGAAGCTGAGTGTCAACAAAGAGCAGCTACTGTACCACTCACTGCCAAAGTCCCCCTAGAGACAGGGCAACACAATTGATCACTCAGCTCTCTATACTCCAGTCAGTGAAGAAAGGGAAACAGAAATGGAGACCATGACTGAAGATTGTAAATGCTGGTTTGAGGCGGTCCACTTCTGTCACCAGGATGTCCAGGGAGTTTGCAAGTGCAGCTTGAGACTTGGAAGCAAGACTGTGAGCCAAAGCTAGGACCCTGCACTACTTTGTTTCCTCACTGCCATTATACACGTATTGTATGAGTACCTAAAGCATGAGAAGGGGACTTGAAAATGACCAAGTTGCTGAAATCTTTGCATGGTATCTGAGGCACTGACAAGGCCATAGGCTGAAACACATACAGTGAATTTCCTCCACCAGGGTGCTCACCACATGAAAACCCTCAACAGTCACTGATGAACTCGGTAAGTCCCATTAGAGCCCACTAGAATCGAAAGCCTGTGTGCGATACATATACTGACAACCACTTAAAGGGCCTGCATAGGAACAGACTATACAAGCTATTTTCTGCAGCTATTAGTGTAATACAGCATTATTACAAAGGTGTGAGAACAGTTTTTGTTATCCTTAGTTGTATGCCCGTCTTCTCTGAAGTGTGACTCAGGGGTTATGGAAAATTGCACTGCAATACACAGTACAGTATCAAGTATACTGTAGTTTTCTTCTATAAACAATGTGCATTATTATTGCGGTCACTGACGTGCACCTACTGTACAACATTAAGCCAACAGAACACACCATACATGCTTGTCAGGGGGGATATCATAACCTGCAGATTTAAGAGTATTCTGCTGTTATCCCAGAGCTATGCCTCTGACAAACAAGTATGATGTAGGTATTTCTACATGGCAGTGCATGTGTTTTATATTTATATATTTACTGTTTTGCACTGCTTATGAGCCCAAAGTAGCACATGACAATATAAAATGATGTCAGTATATTTGTCTCTTTTTAGGATGTACTCTGTTGAGGGAGAGGGGGGAAGGGGGGCGCATGGAAAGTTAGAACTTGCGCATAAACAGGCCCCAGAGAGGGTCGTGTGCCTATACAACCAATCCAAATGCTAAGTCAGCATCTTCATGTATACCTAACCATAACATCGACGAAGCATATCGTTTCCCTGTACTGTTTTTGTTGGCAATGTACAATAAAGTTAAAATGTTGTTAGACAATTGTTAGAAAACAAATACATTGCAAGATGTAAAAAAAATGTATTTTTTTTAACTGAGTAAATTATATGAGAAACTCTAGAAAAACTGTAGTACATATGTTTGTTTTGAAGCTGTTGGAGCAATAAATGAAAACACTCATAGCTGTGTCACTGGATTTCTCCATATAAGTGTTTACAATGAAAAAACTACCATTACTTCCACTATATATACATGACTATAATATATTTTTTATACAGTTATATAGTAGTTATATGTATAGTTAGAAATATAGTTCTATACAAAATTAAATGATAGATAAGCATTGTTTTTTTCATTATATACAAAGTGCTCTTTAATGTGTGTTATTTTTTTCCTTTGCCTGAGCCAAGATTTGATATTGATGAAATGTATCATGTGTTGTAAGATATAATAGTATTTCATGTCTTTTTTTCATAAAAGAACACTGTCCTCTGGGGTTACGGTCATTTCCACCACAGTACACAAAATGTAAATTCAGTAAGGCTTCTCTTTTTAGAGTTTGTGTAGATGTGGCAGGAGAGCGCATGGCTGGAGGGCAGTTAACTCCACGGAGGGAACTGAAATAAGAAAAAATCAAGGTACTACAAGGTACTCCCACCAGTTGGACGTGCCTGGAGCACCTAATGGGAGGCGCCCAGGGGGCATCCTGATCAGATGCCCAAACCACCTCAACGGACCCCTTTTGACACGAAGGAGCAGCGGCTCTACTCCGAGCTCCCTCTAGATGTCTGAGCTCCTTACCCTATCTCTAAGGCTGAGCCCAGCCACCTCACAGAGGGAACTCATTTCCGCTGCTTGTATCCACAATCTCATTCTTTCAGTCACTACCCAGAGCTCATGACCATAGGTGAGGATTGGGACGTAGATGGACCAGTAAATCGAAAGCTTCCCCCTCCAGTTCACCTCCCTCTTTACCACGACTGTCCGGCGATGCGTCCTCATCACAAGCTGCGCCAAACCACCGATCTATCTCACGCTCCATTCTTCCCTCACTCATGAACAAGACCCCAAGATACTTGAACTCCCTGGCTTGTGGCAGTAACTTTCTCCCAAATCGGAGGGGGCAATCCCCCATTTTCCGGCAGAGAACAATGGCCTTGGATTTGGAGGCGCTGACTCTAATCCCTACAACTTCACACTCAGCTGCAAACCACCCCAGTGCATGTCGGAGGTCATGGTGTGATGACAGCATGACAACACAATCACATCACCTGCGCCTTGAGATCCTGTCCATGGATATGAGAAACAGTATCTGAGACAAAGGACAGCCCTGGTGGATGCCAATACCCACTGAGAACGTTTGACTTTGTCAAGTACGTGGACACAGCTCTCACATTGATTATACAAGGACGGCTGATAGAAGCGACCCCGGTACCCCCTATTCTCGCAGTGCCCCCCACAAGACTCCCCGAGGGACACGGTCCTAAGCCTTCTCAAAGTCCACAAAGCACATGTACACTGGATGGGCAAACTCCCACGACCCCTCCAGCAGCCCTGCAAGGGTAAAGAGCTGGTCCACTGTTCCACGACCATGACGAAATTCACATTGCTCCTCTATAAACAGGCTGAATGGCTTAATTATGATGGCTAAAAAGCAAAGTGAACTCGCTTGATTAAGTTGCAGGTCCAGACCTTGGACATACAATATACTAATGAGTAAGTAGCCTATCTCACACTAAGTCACTAGAGCTGTCAGACAAATGTAGTACAGTAAAAAGTACAATATTTACCTCTGAGATATGGTTGAGTAGTATAAAGTTGCATAAAAGGTAAATACTCAAGTGAAGTACAAGTACTTTGGATTTGTACTTAAGTATAATTCTTGAGTAAATGTATTTAGTCACATTCAACCACTGTTAACAATAGGAAACAGATGTAAACGCCTCGGTCAGTTACATTAAAATATTTGTAAGGTCTTAGGACGTGCAAAGACTCACCTATTATGTTCCAATGCTGACATCTAGTGGCCAGTTTAAATTCTGGAGACTTTGGGAGAAATGAAAGTGAAAGAGTTTCAGTTTCCTCGATACTGTGAATCATCGTTTTCTGTAGGCTACGTAGTTTATGCCTCTGCTGGATCCGGACTGTACAGTCCCCTGCGAGCAGCGTTGTTGTTTATGTGAGCTGCAATGGCTTCTGAGGAGGATGATGTATATTTGAATCTTATTGATTACTGTAGGCCGAGGCTGCGAGAGCGGATTGTGGTGGAGCGGGTTCTGGATTATGTGCTTTTTATCGAAACCGAGCAAAAGGAGCTGATCAGACAGAAGGCGAGGACCGATGGCAATTTAGCGGCCACAGATCTCCTTATATCCGCTGTCATAAAGAAGCCACACGAGCCTGGCTGGTTCAGGGCATTTGTTGAAGCCTTGGAAAATTCAGGATGTGAAGCTGCTGCGGAATACATTCAGGTCAATCCCCCCAGACCTGAGGTGGAGGCAGAGAATGATTACTGTGTCAAGCTTGTTGAATTACTCTCCCCCCGTCTTCTGGACATGAATACTGTAGATGTGTGTATCCACTGTTCCTCTGAGGGCCTGCTCACCCAGGATGACTCAGAGATTGTAAGTACGCTGTTGTGAAAGTAAGCTGTCACATCATTGTTTATTTGTAATTGATCAGCCTCTTTATGATCTAAGAGAGATGTAGTTTGAATACAACTTCTCTGTATGTACTTTTTACACTTCAACTTTTTAAATCCCCAAGTCCCAGTGGGTGTGATTGCAGCCTGTGGCCACAAGATGGCAGACAAATGCATTCATATGTGTTTGCAGAGCACAGCACTCCTCTCTGATTGCATAACCTCTCAACTCCACTTATTACTTTGCTCATTTTGTAGGTGACAGCTACAACAACAAACCAAGGTAACAGGAGTGGAGCTCGTGAACTCCTGAGATGTATCGTAAGAGGTCAACATGGATGGTTTTCTAAATTTCTCAGAGTTCTGCGTGAGACTGGACACCAGAACCTGTATTTTGAGCTGACTGGATCAACTGACTGTGACACAAAAGGTGACTAACACACCCATGATAGGAAATGCCATCAGGCAGTCTTGTGGCATAGAGAAAATGTGTCTGTGTTTGGTAGAGGTTATTTATTATTGTAACTCCCAAAGTGTGATTTAGTTATCTCTCATTCGCCTCAGATGAGATGGCATGTCTTCCCCTGAAAGATGAACCTACAGGAAGTGAAGCTCCAGCAGCAGCTGGAGGTGGCGATAGCCCCAAGTTTATGGAGATCAGCGTCAAGGAGGAGCCTCAGGATGAAGCAGGTCTTACAGAACACCTCAGTTCAACAAGCAGTGGAAAATCTATATATGTTTGCAGTGCTGATTCAGTACATATTCATAATGTTAAGTCTAATAACTGAATTTGGACCTTCTTACTACCCAACAGGCCAGTGGTTCCCAACCTCTCTCCTCAAAGGCCCCTTTTCTATCATTGAGTAAAGTGACAACCCCTGACCAAGTGACACTTTGTAGATATTTCACATTATATTCATTACATAACAATAACAGTACAGAACATTTCAGGAAGTTTGTGTCAAAGGAGTGATTTGGAGGAATTTAAGCAGATTATTTATGGAAAGCTCTTTGGTTATTTTAACTGCATGTTTTTCTAATGCAGGACGAGGCTGTTTAGCAGAGAGGGAGGGTTCTGGTTTTTTTTAGGTTTACATCTTGAATAATAATCTAAAATCTGAAAATGCTGAGCTACAGGCCCACTGTATAATTGTTTTAAAGAGTTTTCTTACACATCGTAAATTCAAGAAGGCCTTGCAGCCCTCCAGTGAAGCTTTGGCAACCCCAAGTGGGAGTCAGGACCAGTGCAGGAGGTAGTTTATGGTTCAGTTCACCCAATTCACAACACACATACCCCACTTATCCTTAGTGGTGTCCGTCCATGTAGATTGCTTTCATTTTATGGACAAATATTTTATCAGGACACAATCATAAAATTGTTTCCTCAGTAGATCAAAAACAGATCAAAAACAAAAACATGCACAAGATTCACATGTGTCAGACAGACATCTCAAAGTCCTGGCAAGTAAACTAGATACCACCAGTTGTGACGCTTGCTTTTTGGGAAGTTGGGTAAACTGACTCCTTAGCAGCCATTAGTCCCAGCACGGTGAACAAGAATAAGATTTACTGCCTTTCTCGACTTTTATACCTTGGTTGATATCTTTTCAGACCTGTACGCAGGAGCGAGCACTAAATCCAAACAACGGGAAAGCAGCCTGGAGCGCCCACGACCAGGTGGGACTGTTTGACCCTTTGCTCACCCTTGATGATACTGTTAATGTTGTTCACATATTCAAAGTAATCTAAGAAACCTGCTCTGTTCTGGTCCCAGTAGACCGCACACAAAGACCAAACTCAGGTCAAAGGGAGAAAAAATGTCCTCTTATGTGTAGGTGCCCTGTAGTATCATAAAAGCAGGATAATGAGAGTCTTTGGAACGTGTTGCAAGTGGAACATTTTTGCCTGCTCAACTCCAAAGAATATGTTCCATGTGTGTACCATGATGAACCACATAGAGGTCAGAAAGGACAGAGCATAGCCAGAGCCACAAATGAAAACCACATGGTGCATTGTAAGGTAATGTAAAGGAAAAGTTTAATTCAAGTCGCTGTGGAGTGTTGCTTATATAAGGCTCCTTTTTGTTTGGTTATTTCAAAAGCTCCTGCATCATCTCTCACTACACCGTGCTCATATAAAGTGCCTTTCCAACCTTGTGTTCAAATAATTAACGATTGCTTTAGCATGTGGAGTGGAGAGGCATGTGGAATAATGAGGCAGTGGAAATAATTATATGATATGAATTAACAGAGGAAGTATCCTTTATGTTCTTAATATAAGGTTACAGCACAGTTTGTCTCATTAATGTGAGTAATGCCACAAAGCTGAACGCTTTAAACAGAAAGGATCACATGTAAGATGGTTCCGCCAGACTGAGAAACCAGTTGCATGTGCAGAATTATTTGTGCTACTTCTGAAATCAATTTCAAGTCGGCACTGAATCAGATTGAAAAATAAGCCTGTGGGTTTTCTGTTCTTATTGGAACAACATTAAACGCAGCTAATTGCTGACTTTCCTGCTCTAATAATTTTGACATCTGGGAACTGCTGGTAAAATCCAGGGGGCCAAACAGGCCACTGTTTACATCTTATTGTTGTTAAAGCCTTGTCTCTCCATCGGCAGAGACGTGTATTTACTTCCATGCTGATGCTTCAAAAAGCACTTTAACCTCTGGCATACCAAGGCTGAGACAGAAAATTAAAAGCTGTCTGCACTGGGGGAAAATTAAAACTTTCTGGGGGTTTGAACCCATAAGTGGGGGACATGTATAACCTTTTACACAGTCTATGGTTGAAGGTAGCCGGGGGGTTTTACGTGCACATTGTGCATGGCATCTTAGTCATGTTTTATCCCCTGCCTAGACAGAGCAAATGAGTCATAGCGTGCCAACGACTTTTAAGTCTGACTAAAGTGGATCATAATAATTCTGCTGTCCTTGCAAACAGGAGATGAGACACAATAGACCTCAAGAACAGGGAAAACATTACTGAAATGATGATGAAATGATACACTCCAAGCAGCTTGAGAAAATCTAAATGATTGATAAATACATGCAGATGTTGCACATTGACTGATGTTTTGTTATTTCTGGAAAATTTGAAGCAATTGAATTGGCTCAAACCCACCAAATATGACTTCCAGTTTTAGATTTGTAACATATAATGTTTTGTACTGCAACAAAGAAATCTGATGCACGTACTGTCCTGCTTTTGGCACAGTTCTTTAATCTTTGAACTTCATGGTACAGCTGTGCCGCTCACTGATTTTATTGTTAGTGCACAGTGTTCACATCTTTACCAAAGACGAGATGTTTTATAGGTGCTCCATGCAGTGTTAATTGGGATTTAAAATCAGTAGCGTAACAGTGAAAGTATAGTTTATTAAAGTGGTAATTTATTTTGGTCTTTGTGGACATTTTTCCAAAATGAATGCACATAATAAAGAAAAAAAACAAGGCATTACATTAATAAGAAAACATTTCCAAAACAAAAAGGTGTAGTCTGAAGCTTAAGCTTATCATATCTACTCTTTTTATTTAGCATATTCTCATAAGTAACTCATTGACTACAAGGTTCAGTCAGATTGCTCATTGTTTGTGTTTTAAATGTAGAACATATTCTATGAATTTGGTGCATATGCATACAGTATTTTTAAGGGCACTTTAAGAACACATCCCACCACAGGGCCGAGACCACAAACAATGTCAAGCACAGTCGTTTCCTCCTGGTAATGCCTGTAATGGTGGGTTGCTGACACAGACAATAAATTTTGTCTGTCTGAATGTCTGCTCTGCATTACAGATCTAGTAGCAGCGGCCAGAAGCCCAGGACAAGATATTGTTCTTCGAGATTATCAGATGGAGGTCGCTAGACCCGCCTTGGAGGGGAAAAACATCATCATATGCCTCCCAACAGGAAGTGGTAAAACCAGGGTTGCAGTTTATATTACCAAACACCATCTGGACAGCAGGAGGGCAGAGGGGCGTTCAGGGAAAGTGGTCATCCTGGTGAACAAGGTACAACAGCCCGAGCCTGGTATACCTGACTTACGTCTGTGCGCTGTTATGCTGACCTACTTCTTTCCTTTTCAAATCCAAAGAAAACATTCTATCTTTCAGTCAATTTGCACATGTGGGTCAGCTCACCACAAATTACATGCCATAGGGTTTAGGTATTCCTCTGCACTTTGGTACTATTTGGCATGTGATCTGCTCTGCGCTGGAAAAGACCACACTTACTCCATTTTAGATTAAAGGTTTTCCAGCTATAAAAATGGGGTTTTTTTGAGTTTCATAAGAGCTTGGGGAATAGTGACTGTATGTTACTGAAACCGATCATGGCGATTCATTTTTCAACAGAGCAGAAAAATAAGTTGCCTAATTGTGTCTCTTCTGAGACAAAGGGGTGTCTCATCCTGATTTTCAAACAATGGGCTACAAAGTTTTATAAGCCACAGCACAACTAATCAACAAAGTTGTCATCATAAACAAACACACCCTCAAATCATCAGCAGCTTTGCAGTAATACAAACAACATGGATGTCTTATTTTGTTTTGATTGAGGTTTATTTCTTGACTTTGTACCATCAGCATCATAAAACTGAATGTCCTCTGGTGTCCTGTAGGTCCCTCTTGTCGAGCAGCATTTTTCTGCTGAGTTCTGTCCGTTTTTGAAGCCCTCCTACAAAGTGGAGAGAGTCAGCGGAGACAGCCAGCTGAAAATCTCTTTCACAGAGATCGTGAAGAATAATGATGTCATCATTTGCACAGCCCAGATCCTTGAAAATTACTTGGAGAGGTCCATCACAGGAGAGGATGACGGGGTGAACTTGAGCGGTATGATTTTACAATACAGTTTTACAAAAGCTCATAAAATCCAACACAAGAATGTGAATTACTATTCATTGCTCAACAAATTCCTTTGGTTTAAGTCAACTTGATCACCACTCCAAAAAAAACAGTATTCAAAACTGAAACAAGGTCACAATAACTCCACTTTTTTTTTTTTTTTTTTTGGAAAAAGGCTTCCTAAAACCTTGAGTTAAAAATCTGCCCAGGCTTAAACCACAGACACTGACAGGTTTTGGAATAGAAAGCCACCCAGAGGACTCATAACATCTCCCCTGATGATACCTGACAGGATCTTGTCAAAGTCTTCCGGCTCTGCTGTTCACTCTTGTTGGCACTCACCAGTCCAAGGTGGAATAGCCACCTCAGTGGAACATATGCTGTTTGTTGAAACGCCTGAGAGCGTGTCCTTTTTTCTTTTTTTCCCTATCCCCTGCCTTCCAGGCCACACGTCTGTTCAAGCCATCAGTGTGTGGTTGATCAAATTCACATGAGAGCTTCTATCACCCACAGTACATCAAGCTGCCACTCCTCTCTACTCTTTTGTACCTCTGGGGACACATTTGTATCACTCTGGTTAAACTTGAACGTGTGAATGATTGCAATTCACCTCGCTCACTCACACTTATGTAAAATACAAAAATCAGAAATGAGTCAAAGCTATTTTTGAAGTTTTCCGGCATATGTTATTGTGTGGTTTTAACTGCTGCGTCAGGTTCCTAGAAAAGTGCTGGTTTGTGTGGGAGGATCTCTCTTACAGAAAGATGTTGTAATCAGTGCCAGAAAGTCACCTCTATTTATTTAAGAAATACAAATAAATGTCGTATAAATAGCACTGCTTGGTTGACAAAATTGCAGTCCCTGGCCGGTAATGTTACAGTGGGAGATGCAGAAACATAAATGTTATTGTTCTAACAAAGCAATCAGTAATCTCGCTGTACAATATTCCTGGCGAAGAATCTCTCACCATTTATTCCTCTTCTTGTCATCTTTAGTGTTGCTTCTAGGGATGCAACCGATTCAATAACCGATAATTTCACATTTTTGTTTTTTAAAAAGAAGTGTATAACCTGTAGTTTATGTACACCTGAGGGTAAGAAAGGCTATGATGTAGTGAGAAAACATGGATGATGTAATATCCCATAGCCCTGACTGATCAAATCAAACCAACATCACTTGCTAACACAACAAAAACAAAGAACAGTTCTGACTCTTTCATACCTGCCAACATGAGGCTGTGGTATTGTCTCAAAGCCCCAGGCCCCATATCACCCTACACTACAGATGGACATTATAAATACAAAGATGTGAAAGTAAAATGACTTTTAAGCAGTATTAAATGTATAGTTAACGGTAAGAGAGAGGGAGATCAGTATGAGTAAAGCCTATAAACTATACTGCAGAGTGGGGTCTCTACTACAGAGACAAACAGTGACTCATGAACGGGTTGAATGCGCATCGGCAGGTCCACCTTACATCTGAGGCCTGTACTACGAAGCCAGCTCACCTTACCCATGATATCTTTCATTATCTGGTTTGACTATCCCCATTCTCGGAATCCATCGGCTGTATTCGGCGTCTGACTTCCGGCAGACGGCGATACAGCCCCTGGGGGCAGACCCCCGATTTTTTGGTATTCCAGTTTGATTTGGGCGGAGGAGGCGAATTTCCATTTCCGACTTCCGTTTATATATAAGTAAATATGCTGAAACATTGCGATGGATTCAGAGTTTGCAGTGACGGCAATTATGTTCCGCCTCGTTAGTTCACCACACAGACTGTTTAACCTGGCAACAACTGCAGCTGGCTCAAACGTGATTAGTCAATATCACATGGACTACAAACAGCCTACAACCGGAAACAAGGGCTCTTCCGCTCTTCTTCCGGAGGCAAGATCTCCGGGGTTTGCCTACAGACTCTACATTCACTAAATGTAGAGTCTGTATATAGAGACTAGACTAGCCCTAACATTGGCCGTCTGGGTAAGGGGTACTACAAAGCTGGTTATCAACCAGTTCAGTCAACTCTGGGTTTTCCTATCCAGCCACCAGCGCGTTCATGTGAAAGAGGCGGGGGGTGTTAACTACACGCGACATCATCAGAACCATGAATGAAGTAGGCTGCTTCATATGACATAAGATGAAAGGGTACCGAAAGAGTCTGCGACTGCAAGATAGTAAAATGTCAATGACGAGGGATGTAAATGATACCCTGTAATTTCATAACAAGAAATGTGGAAACATAATGAAAATACTATCCAAAATACACCGTCAGCCGAAACTTAAATTATGTGCAACTATAGGCCCATGTGACTTTTTATGACTATTTTTTGCTGTTTAGTTGGATGATGACGAAACTACTCTGAATATGTCCCATAGCACACTTCAAAGTGAAGCAAGACTGTTTCTGCTACTGAAGTAAGGGGTGAAAAAGTGGCCCCATTAATCACTCATGAGGTCTATCTGACCATTTTATCCTGGTTCTCATCACACAGCAATGGCAGCTATCACTGCAGACTACAGTAAACTTTGCATAAGTTCAAATCATGCTAAAATCATGTGGTAGGTGTGTAAACGATCTCTCCGTTGTTAGAGGCTCTGTTTCAAAACCAGTGGACAGAGAGCCCTGCAACAACGAACTTCATCTACTGACCTATAACAATATACAGTATAAGCGCCTCTTTTTTACCTGAGACTCTGGACTTTTGCTCGTGATCTGATTGGTCAGACTTCGGGGTGTTGCCAGGCCGTGATCCGACACCCTGAAGTTAACCTACTTCGGAGCAGGTTAGCTGTTCTGCTTAAGTTGCCACGGTGATTTATCTGGTAAAAAGAGAAATAGTTTCGTAGTACCGAAAAAAACAGAGTTAACCCAGAAGTTACTTTGCTAATGTCAAATTCTGCTTCACAGTACAGGCCTCTGATGTATGAAATGTTAATATCATCACACTGTATTTTTATAAACTCACCCAGGCGCCGTCTCACCGTCCCACGACAGACTAGGCTACAACTACGGAGAATAGCGATGCCCTATTGATTCACCTCACCAAACTGAACTAGCAATGTCTCACACACACGCAGCCAGAGAGAGAGAAACGTGCTCCAGACTGGGTTGTTGGGTAACAATAAAAATAATCGCTAACTGTAGCATCACATGGCTAGCAGTTGTTATAAGTTTTATATTTGGTATTGGATGTAAGCCACTGCTGCTAATTAGCTCGTGCTAACACTGTGGAGACGGTCCTTCAGCGTTGTGTCTAACCTGTGTTGGGCAGTCGGAGATCAGAATCTCCTTGGTGCAATCATGTCTTCTGGAACTGTGAAAGACCGCAACATGTTTTGTCCTCCTGACAGTGTGCTGCAGTTGTTCTTTTCTGTGTGTTTATTGGTGACTCGCAAACACAGTCAAAAACTTGTCAAGTCAATGAAAGCAGTCAGGCTTTGTATTATCGGCTGTGCATAATTATAAAAATGTCCAATTTTTGGCCGATAATTTATCGGCCCGATATTTAACGTGCATCCCTAGTTGCTTCTTTATAAACTGGCGACTACTTTGCATGGCATACTGACAAAACATCCATTTGTATCTTTGGTTTTCTTCTCTTCATGTAGATCTGTCACTGATCGTAATAGATGAGTGCCACCACACTCAGAAAGGAGGAGTCTACAACCACATAATGATGCGCTACCTGAAGCAGAAGCACAAAAACAAGAGGCTGAAGAAAGAGCAGAAGGAGCCCGTGCCCATCCCTCAGATCCTGGGCCTGACCGCGTCACCAGGGGTCGGGGGAGCCACGAAAATGGCGAAAGCTGAGGAGCACATACTGCGCGTAAATATCATTCTCAGCTTCACCTGTCCACACCTTTGTGCACAACAACACATATTAGTTAGACCTAACATTCTAATGCAGTCTACTATAACAACACCAGAGACTGCGGCCTTACAAATCACTAGAGACATAACCACTTTTGTCTGATCATTGTGAGCTTGAATTGTGGCCACACCTAGTATATTCGAATCACCACAAACAACAGAAATGTCTCTCTTTCAGTTTCACTTTTTCATCTTTTGTTCTCATCTACATCCTGCTCCACTTTCTCTGACTTAGTCATCGAGGATCCTGTTCATCCAGTCAAGCTGCTCTTAATATTCCACACTGCCCCTGCACACACACACACACACACACACACACACACACACTAGCCATAAAGTTTCCTACTGCCACAAAAGTCGAAAATTGAAAACAGCTTTTTGGCTTCAACTCTGTGTCTGTTAGGCAGACATTAAATAGAAATAGTGTAGACATGTCTGACTTTGACTAATCCAACAATGTAATTTGTGCGTCTCTTTCATAGATTTGTGCAAACTTGGATGCTGTCAAAATCATGACAAGGAGCCTTGGGGAATACAAAAAGGAACCAAGGAAAATCATTGAAAGCATTGAAGACAGAAAAGAGGTATTTTTATTCGACATTTGGAGCCGGCCTCGTAGTAGCTTTTTGTTACAGTTTCTCTCTAAGGAATGACGTTAAGAGTGTAATATGTTTGTATTCTTTATAGGATCCCTTTGGTAATGTAATCAAGAACATCATGAATGCCATTCATGCCCATGCTGAGCTGAGCCCCACCTCTGAACCTGGCTCTCAGAATTACGAACAGTGGGTTGTTCAAAAAGAACGAATAGGTGAGCTCTATTTTTTTATGCTCATCTTCAGGGATACTTTGCCTAACTTCCTTTTTTGATAAGAAATTACTTGGTTTTGTGGATCTTAAAACTTGTCTCAATCCATTTTAGCTGCAACAGAGGAAAATCAGAAAGTGCGGGCTTGCACAGAGCACCTTCGACAGTACAACGAGGGCCTGAATCTCTGCAACACTATTCGCATGCGTGATGCCTTCAGTTTCCTGAACGAATACCACCAGGAGCAGATAAAGCAAAAAACAACACCAGACGATGAGGAGACCATTCAGATCACAGATACTGAGAGATTCCTCTTCAATTTGTTCAAAGGTATCGTGGTGTTGGGCAAAAGCCGACTTGCCGTTATCATTACTGTTATATGGATTGTTGAATTTTCAGCCAAGAGCCAGACATTTTAGGAAATAAGCTTATTTGCTTTCTTGCTGAGAGGTAGATGAAAAGACCCAAACCTCTTTCATGTCTGTCAGTATAAGGCTAGCCACTGGTTAGCTTGGCTTACCATGAAGACTGGAAACAGGATTGTAAAACCAGCTGTTGTGTCATGGGTAAGTAACATAAGTATCTGCATGTTGCTTGGTAACCCAACTGCAATAAGACTTATTTTTTGGAACAAAAGCTACTGTGCAACCACACTTTACAACCTCTCTCTACAACTTCTCTTTTTTGGTTGTGGTTTTTGTGCAGATCAAAGGCATACTTCACCTCCCAAATGATCCTTTGTATATAAATTACTCACCACGTGTTACATTGAATTCTTTTGTTTTTCTCAAATGCCTCCACGGTGAGCAAAGAATCCAATTAACAACAGCAAAACTACATCACAACATCTGATTATAAACTCTCATACACCTCATGCAGCATAATCCCAGTCTCATTTATCCAGTTGATGTTGAGTACCTCCCACATTAACGCATGCATTTTCACTAAAACCTTACCATACTAGTCCATACCCATTGGTAGCTTCTACCTATGCCAATCCTCAATGCCTATGCGCAGTTTCACCACGTCAGTGAGTAGAAAAAAAACGTGGGACAGACAGAATGACTGACTGACTGACAGTTTCCATGATTATGTACAGCATACCATAACATGACTTAGTCATACCAAAAATTAGGGGAAAAAAACAAACATTGGGCCACAGGGGGAGCCACAGCGATCGGTCGCATGTTAGCCTTTTTTTTTTTTTTTTAAGCTTTTTTCTGTTGTTATAGCGCCACCCAGTTGCCAATTAGAGTTAAATTTCTCCAGTCACCTTGAGGCGTCCTGTTCTACATATCTACCAAGTTTAGTAAAGTCGATATGGCGGTTAGGCCCAGATAAGAAATTAGCTCTCTAGCGCCCCCATTTTGTTTGATCGGGTCAATAATAGAGGGGTCCCCTCAGATTATGTGTGGTCATATGCCTACAAACTTGCGTGGTGATCGGTGAAACCCTTGAGATGTTATACACCTTTATGTGATGAGCCACGTAGTTTCATGCAGATCGGTCAAACTTCCTAGGAAGAGATTGATTTTAAGAAGAAAAAAAATTAAAAATCGCGAAAAATCTATGCAACCGGAAGTTATGGGTTCTTGGGGCAAATTTGTTCCTCATGAGGAGAGGCATCTCTGTGCAAAGTTTCATGTCTCTCCGACATACGGGGCATGAGATATGCCCATTCAAAGTTTGCAATTTCAATCGGTTGCTATAGCGCCTCCCTTTGGCCAATTGATGTAATATTGCTTCATTCGCATCCTCCCATGACCCTCTAGCACTGTGCCAAATTTCACATGGATTGACCAAGTCAGTGAGGAGAAAAACATGGAACAGACACACAGACACACCCACAGACAGGTTTTCGATTATATAGTAAGATAAGATAAAACATTTCTGCATATACAGCCCAGGCGTGCTACTCATCCATGTGTTTTTATGCAGAGGTGTTTTAAATAGTAAGTATGTGTTTGGGAAGCACTGAGCATATGACTGGATAAATGAAACTTGGATTATACTGCACGAGCTGTGTGACAGTTTGTTAATGGATATTTTAATGTAGATTTGCTGTTGACAAATGTGGACTCCTATGACTTTCTGTTTTAGGATTCTTTGTTCACTGTGGAGGCATGTGAGAAAAACAAATGTTTCTTCATAAATTTAACATGCCACTCGGTGAGTAATTGATATTCAAATGATCATTTGCGAAATGAAATAAACAAGCTACTTTGTGAACTTTAGGTGTGATGGATGGCAGATTTGGACAGCTTGTCTTCCTTTTCTCCAGTCTTTAAAGCTAACTTGCTACTGGCTGTAGTGGAATATTTACCAGACGGACGTGAGATATCAATCTTCTGATCTCACTCTTGTCAAGAAAGTGAATAAACATTTCTCTCAAAATGTTGAGCTGTTTCTTTAACCTCCAAAATGATGCAAAAAATGTACTAGAGTTCTTTGACATCTGTCTTGCAGAGAACAAGGAAGAGCTGCAGAGGCTCGCGGAGCATCCAGAGTTTGAAAATGACAGCCTGACAAAACTAAAAAGTAAAATTCTGTACGAGTTCAGCAGCAGGGAGGCGGCCAGAGGGATCATTTTCACCAAAACACGTCGCAGCGCCATTGCTCTAAGTCAGTGGATTCAGGAAAACCCCAAGTTTGCTGACATTGGAGTGAAAGCCTCACATGTGATCGGAGGAGGAGACCAGAGTGTTGTTAAACCAATGACGGCTGTGAGTACACATCACACAAATGGCAGCACATTTGCCTCCAGCATCCTACGAACTTCAAGTCCAACTCACACTTAACCTTTTCATCACAATTTTTGTGTTAATCAGGCAGAGCAAAGGGAGGTGCTGAGCAAATTCCACAGTGGTAGAGTCAACTTGCTGATTGCTACCACAGTGGCAGAGGAAGGTCTGGACATAGCAGCCTGCAATTTTGTTATCCGATATGGGCTTGTGACCAATGAGATTGCTATGATTCAGGTCAGTGACGTCAGTCATCAAATGTGTAATGAACTGTAGTGTGTGTTAAAGATTATCACTTCTATCCCTAGTAATAAAGGCACCATTATACATGTGTGTTACAGTGAAATAAAGGTATAAAGTGGTTGCTTATTGACTCTATCATCACCTTTTGCAGGCTCGAGGCAGAGCAAGAGCTGAGGACAGCAGTTACTCTCTGGTCGAGGTGAAGAACTCTGGGGTGGCTGAGAAGGAGTGTGTCAATGAGTACCGCATTGACATGATGAACAAAGCCATTGAGAAAATCAGAGCCTTAGATCAAGCAGACTATGACAAACGGGTATATTCACTTCAAAAAAAAAGTTTCGACTGAAACCCCAAATTGCCATGCAAGACAGCTCTCTGATGTTTTTTTTTTTCCTTTCATCAGATCACAGACTTTCAGATGGAGGCTATACTGGTGGAAAAGATGACAGTGAAGAAGAAGAAGGAGAAAAAAATGCAGGATGCAAAGGGTGAAGTGAAGTTTACCTGCCGAAGCTGCAGCAAACACGTCTGCACTGGCGACGACATCCAGATGATTGAAAACATGCACAGAGTCAACGTCACACCAGAGTTCAGGTACAAACTACAATTTGGAATTGACTTCTGCAGCATTCCATGATGTATAAACTCAATGCCACAATTGTAATTATGTGCCAATGATGAATTATACCCTGCATGCATGGCAAATGTATCCAAAGTCAACTCAAATACTGACTTTTTTTTTTTACAGTAAACTTTTCATTCGGAGGGAAAATACTAATCTTCAAGAGCGACTTCTGGATTATGAGACCAATTACTACATAGCATGCAAAGACTGCGGGCAGGTAAATGTATTTCAGAGAGTTAGGTGTTTTTAAGTTGGACATTTTGGGAAATACACTTATTTACTTTCTTTCTAAAGGTTAGAGAAGAGGTTTTATACCACATTCAGGTCTATCCATTCAACGTAAAGCTCCAGCTTGCATGGATTGCTTGGGATTAGTTTCTGTAGTGTTGTAAGATGTCTCTTTGCAAGGACACTTCACCTGCAAAATAACCATTTGTCTATCAGTTATTCATGACATTGAGCTGAATTCATGAAGAAAATTTCGTTTTTCTTGCATGCCTTCATTGTGAAGGGAGAAACCAAAAAATGCAAAGACACTGGTGACCACATTAAACAACAGCAAAACTATAGCTATATACTAACATTTTAGTAAAAATGCATGTGTTTGTGAAGTACAGCAAAGCTGCTCCCGACTAAGAATTTTCCTAGTCGATCAATAGTTGTCAATTAGGGTCATTAGTCGACTAGTCTTCCACATGTTTACGATATTAATTTCATTATTCAAATATATATTTTGGGCAGTAAAACACAATGGTTTGAGTTCACGGTCTGAGAGAGAATAGTATCAGTAACATTGTTAACACTGTGCTACATTACAGAGAAATACAAAAGCGTACTAATGAACCTTCATTAATATAGGCCTATATTTTATCTACAAGTGCACGTCACACACTGAGCGAGCCGCCTGTTAATGACGCTGTCGGCAAAGTGGCTAATGGGCATGTAGCTACTTCCATGTTTAAGATGATACGTCATGTTTGTAGTCGACCAATGAAGATGAGTTTACATATCACCTTGGGTTCGTCCTTCACCTTCTCAAAATGATCCCACACTTTGGATTTCCTGCCCGACATGTTATTAACTAGCCTGTGGAATAACCACAGGTACCAGCCCTGGAAATTAGGGGCCATACACATGCCGTGTATTTAACCACCTGGACCCACATGGTTCAGTCATAGAAGTTTTTTTTTTTTTTTTTGACAAGGTGCAGCTCCTAACTGAGTTTCACATGAAATCTTGCAGACTAATGACATTTCTGGTGTACTAACGTTTGGTCAACCATTAGGGGGCAGCCCTAGTACAGAGCATACGACTGGATTAATGAGACTTGGATTATACTGCATGAGTTGTGCGAGAGTTTGTGACTGAATGTTTAAATAGTTTAGTCCCTGTTTATTACAATTCATGAAAAATCTTCGTCTTTTTGGATTCACTGTGGAGGTATGCAAGAAAAACAAAGTTTACTTCACAAATTCATGGCAACACAAAGTGAGAAATTGCTACACAAATGGTCGTTTTGTAGATGAAATACTCCTTTAAAAATAACGAGAGAAAAGAGTGAAACGAGACCAGTCATACACACTAAAATAATTTGGAAAGAATGAGAATCAGTGTGAGAGGGAAAAAAGATCCTGTAAGTCAATATAATGAGACTTTACCAAGATAATGAACTCGTATCACAACATGAGAAACTTTATCAAAATGACTTGTATTGTTTATCATTAATTTTACCGATTAAGTCAGTTTTGAGTTTCTCATTTTGAGATACTAAGTCATTATTTTTTCATATTTCTTACTGTAATGATTTTACAGGAGCTTTTTATTCCATCACACTGACAGAAATGGGCTTCCAGAGTTAAAGCTACAACCATATGATTCCATATCTTTTTATTTCAGGCCATGACTCCCTGAGGGTACACATGGCACTGATTAGTTTGTCACTGACCAAAAACAGTAAGCAAAACAATGTTTTAACATCTGATTTCCATTGCAGAGATGGGGTTCCATGATGCTCTACAAAGGCATCGATTGCCCCTGCCTCCACGTGAAATATTTTGTGGTGACGTTCAACGGAAAGAAGATGGGCAAATGCACCAAGTGGAATGAGCTTCCCATCAAGTTCCCTGCCTTTGACTACACTGAACACGCCAGCCGGGTGGTTGAGAGCTCAGATGAGGATGACGCTGAATGAATCACCACTGTGTCGACTCACTGATACTCACAAAAATATTGATTTCTGTTGCATTTCTGCCTTTGGCTTCCACGGCGTACATTACAGTTCTTTTAACACTGGTAAATGGAAGTGCTACGGTGCAACAATAACTGGAGTCACTGCTGGTGGTGGATTTAAGTGTGTGTTGCAAAGCATGTGCAATATTTTTTATAAAGTATAAGGTTGTCAAAAATATTAATTTCCATTGGGCTTGTTGGTGTATCAGATACTATATGTTGAATTTACTGCAGAAACGATCATGAGATATGAGTGTGCATCACTGATACAAAATGAACTGGGGGGAAATGATTTTTCTTTCAAGCTCCTGTGGTCTCATGAGATTGGAGCCACTGAGCCTGTGATAGCCCCTCAGAGCCCACCTGTCAACACACATGCAGACAAAACAGGTGCTGGTGATTTTCCATTAAATCAAACTGTTGAGACAGTCACAGCTGCTATTTTTAGAACTATTTGTTAAGAATTGTTCCGCATAGACACACCTGAGTGCCTGTGGCGTACGCAAACACGCAACTTGTATGGATCCTTGGATGATAAAAATGTGTCACCTATCTGGCTTCTAATACTTTTATTTTTCCATTTATGTTCTGAACAATTAATAACATTCAAATAAAATTATCCCTTAATAATGACTTGTCCAACACTGCATTACTGCATCGTTATTTCGTAATATCTCCAGCTGTAGCCACTTCTGCTCCCTCACAGTTGCTGAGGGGAATAACTCGCGCCCTCGGTGAAAAAGCCACTTCCTAAATACCAGTAAGTTGTGCGCTCTTGGAAACTTGTGCAGACTTCAGGGAGGCATCTCTGCCTGTCTGTCTGGTGTCGGACTCCTCTCAGGAATGCAGCGGGAAGTGTGAGAAGCCTTGCTTCAACTAAAAGTAGGACGGAGCTCGGTTTTCTCATGTTGCCATATTTAGTTTAAAGCCATTGTTACGGTTTTTTTGCTGTGAGAGTATGTTAACACCAGGCTGCTTGTCCAAGAAGGCACTTTAAAACTTCACATCATCGACCTGCAAGGACCGTTAAAGACTGAGAGCTTCACGGAGACGTCTCCTGCACCATGGTCAGTAGTCGATTGATCAATTGATCAGCTTCAGTAGTCACTTTAAATACCAAAAGAAAAAAAAAAACATGAGTAAATGTGAAGTACTTACTGTGGAGAGTGTGAAGCTCACTGCTAGGGTAGCCTATATAACGATTGCAAAACCAGACCCTACAACGCCAGCTTGTGTTGTGTGATTTCAAGAAGAGGATGTTTTTGAAACTTTTGTGTCACCTTTCACAGGGCTGCAGCAAGATGATGTGGGGGGTGGTGGGGGCGGCTGTCGTCATCACGTTAATAACGATCCCTGCGGTTTATTTCAGCAGTAAGTTAAAGCTCAGGCCTCTATGTGTGTGTTTTTTCTCAGTGTGTGTGTGTGTGTGTGTGTGTGTGTGTGTGTGTGTGCTCTCTGTGTGAAATCAAGTGTGAGAATAACCATAACAGCTTGCTTAAAACTAAAAGTACAAATCAGGTATTACAAACTGTTTTTCTGTGTTTGACTGACTGACTTTAAGTTTGTGTGATTTTTTTTCTTGCTGTCATAATTACTCTTTTTTGGTTGTCCATTTGTATTGTGTCAGCAGCCTTACTAAGGTGTTTATTTAAGTGAATTATAAGTGGCTCCTATGTGGCTTTTCAGTGTAATAGCACGCTGCTGGACGTTTTAGCGCCACCGCGTGACGCACAGATGGATGCGTGTCTCCATTTTTCACTTCTGATCCAACAGTAACATTTTACTTTTCTGCAGTGTCAGAATTTAACTAAGGCAACTGAGGCAAACATATATGCACTTAGTTAAAGCATTTTATTGAGAGCAGTGTCAGTTTGCACAGATCACAAGTAAATACATACAAATAAAGACATTACTGGTAAATATACAAATGTAATTTAAAGATAGTGCATTTACAACACTGATACAGACACTTTTCTCCTTTAGTATGTATTCAGATTATAAGGAAAAAAAACACAATAGAAAAAAAGAAAAATATATAGTAACCTAGACGCCCAAAACAAAATTGAACGATTCTACATCAATCTTCTCCAGATGTTAAATAAAAGGTTGCCAGATGGTGTCAAATACGTCCAGCTGCTTATTTCTAATCTGATCCTCTCCAACTCAAGAGCACTGACAACATCCTCAAGCCACATATTCACATCAGGGATATTTTTATCCTTCCGCACCATCAGCAAGCATTTCTTAGCTGACATAAGGAAATAGCTTATAAGTCAACTTTGAGCTGTTGTGAGAAAGTTAAATGTCTCTGAACATTAAAAATAATAGTTTGTGGTTCAGGCCCAGTTCTTGAATCAAGAATGTCTATGGAAAATGTTGCACCAGTACTTCTGAATCTTAGGACACATTTCAGTGTATTAGAATGGCTTCGTTAGACTGACACCTGTGGACTTATGCAACCTCTGTGCTATTTTAGATTGCATAAGGCAATGTCTGACATTAATAGAACATTCATTAATCTGTTTTAAACCATAATATTGTTCCTCTGCAATCTGGATATTTAAATCTTTTTCCCATCTCTCTCTTATAAGAGGAGTGTCCACCTTTTCATCCTGCAGAGCTGTATACACAGTAGATATGAAGTTAATCCATATCATTTATTTTTTCAGTAATTTCAAACATGATTTGTGTTATATTAATCTGGTAAAACCAGTCAGTGTCATTTTGACCCCAAAATTTAAAAAAAAAAAAAAAAAAAAGGAATAAAGTCTTTCAGTACAAAAGTAGACAGAGACCTTGGTCTCAGCATGACCCCTTATCAAAATAAAGGTTGAGTAAAGTTTTCAAATTTAGATTTTTCAAATTGTACATACTGTAAAATTAATGCCGTTTACACAGAGCTATGAACACCTCACAGTACAGGCAGTTACAGCAAACAATTTGGCTCATGCTATGCTCAGGACATACTGGCATGTGACAGGAGGAGCAAACATTTGCTACCATCCTGTCTGTGTTTGGGAGCAAAGGCAACACCTATTTTGAGTAGATTTTCCAGCCGAGAGTTGGATGTTCACAGCAGGAAAAGGAGTTTTCCTTGAACTTCTATTATGAAATTATGTGATCTGACTTTGAATATCATCTTATGAGGAAATCTGTTTGCTGCATCTGTATCCGTCTCCTTCAAAAGAAATGACTCACCTGAACTTACTGATGAGTGCCCCCTACCCCTGATAGCATGTGGTACCTTAGATCAGGACCACAGCAAACATGAACTCAATAAAATGTTCCATCTGTTAAAACTGCATTGGGGAATAGGAAAACAATGTTATGAAGTCATTAGGAACAAATTGATTGACTAAGTCCTGAAAACTGGAATAAAGCACCTGTGAGAAACGACAATACGACAAGTACACCTCTGGGTCTACCCCAGTCAGTACGATGAGGGTTAAATAAAATATATGAATACTTCTGCTACTGGATTTCTTATATTGTTGATGGCAAAAGCTCAAATGCAGCATGTGCATCATTTCAGAATCGGGTGTTGCCAAGAGGCCATTCACCATTGAAGATTACTTCAATGACACCATTAGGTGGAAAGCCTACAACTTGTATTGGATATCAGGTAACAGGTCAAATCTGTAATACAAGCTGTCCTTTTGGTCAAGACAATATATGAATCTTCATGTTGTGTACAAACCTCTCACAAGTGTATTTATTGTCTTTTATGTCTGCAGACAAGGAGTATCTGCATAAAACAAGAGAGGGAAATGTCATCCTCTTCAATGCTGAAACAAATGAGGAGTCACTATATTTGAGCAATTCAACATTTGTAATATACATATATTTTCAAATATGAGCATTTTACAACAATAAACATAACATTGTCAGTAATAACTTGTGGTTTATACTAATATTTCCATTATCATTTTCATTGCAGGCTCAGGTGGATGCCAATGATTATCTGTTGTCAGGTGACTATAGATACATCGCCTTTGAAAGCAATTTCACAAAGGTGAGAAACTCCCTGTGCATGTTCCCTAATTAGCTTTGCACATGCATTTTTACATTGACTAAACTCTTTAAAATATTTCTGTGTATGCCACTTTAAGTTTTATTATCATAAAATCTGATGAGGAAAATAGGAAAACAAGTTCTGTGTTTGCACTCTGACAGAAATGGAGACACTCTTTCACAGCTTCTTACTCCATCTATGACAGGGAGAGCTCGTGAGTTGTTGCCTTTTATTGTGACACAGTACATCATTTGTCATTATATGGACAGGCACATCACCCTCAGTTACTTTCATATTTCTTTCCAGAACATTTATTACCCCTGTGAATCTTCCAACCGTTGTGCAGTACTTCACCTTCGCCCCAACAGGAAACAAATATGTAAGTTTACGCCGTGTTATCGCGCAGCCTTGTCTTCACATTCAGTTGTAATTAACAATATCACAGCTGCTTCAACATAACTGGCTTTGAAATATGCTGCCCTGGTATGTGAGGCAACATTAGACATGTCGCATTTCGCAAACCATTTCTTGCTATAAAGTGTATTTAATAAACTAAAGTTGTGAATTTGAGTATGGATTTGTATGACATTTGTAACTAAAATCATCAAAAACTATAAACTATATCTACATTTTGCTTTGCAGGCTTATGTCTTTGACTACAACATTTACTTCAAATCCGACGTCACTGCTGAAGCTGTGCAGGTGACCTTCAATGGGAAAAAGAATGAGATCCTCAATGGTATTCCTGACTGGGTATATGAGGGTAATTAATGTTCTCCTTTTTTTAGATATGTGCTTCTGTTTCTCAAAATGGAAGATGCTTTAAGACGTTTTTTCTCCCATCAATTTCAGAGGAAGTGTTTGCATCTAATGGGGCAATATGGTGGTCGTCCACCGGGAAATACTTGACTTATGCAGAGTTCAATGACACAGACGTTCACAAAGTGGAGTTCTCTTGGTATGGATCTGAGCAGTATCCTGAAACAGTGGCTGTACCTTATCCAAAGGTGGGACACTCATGTGCCTTTCTCAAACATGCAATATTCTGCCCTGATAGTATTTATGTATATAGCACAATTTATATCGGCAATTCTCTGTTCATATTGTCCGCAATGTATCCTCCTCACACTCTCATGATAGTCAGTAATTTATGGCAATGTTACTTTTGATTGCATTTGCTGCAGGCTGGCTCGCCCCTAACCAAAGTGAAACTGTATGTGATTGATACCACAAATCCATCCCAACGCACACAGGTGGTTCCCCCTGCGTCTGTAGCCTCTGGGTCTGTATATTCTTCACTTTGTTCGGTATTTTTAAACCTGGATCATATTTCCCTATGTTTTTGTGTCTAAGGGACTAATGGAGAGAACAGTTTTTAAAATTGGTCCAGTATGACAGAGACCACTGCAGCCGCTACAGCAAAACAGGCTGCAGTGTAATCCCTATGGGAGATTGTGCAGCATCAATATACATATTATAACAGTGCATGTTTTTGCCACTGACAGGCTCAGATTGTTTTTCGAAGTGTCTGACAACATTATGGAAAACACAGAGAAGTCAGGGCAGCTGAGGGCATTAAGTGCTGGAGAGGGCACCAAAACAGCTGATGATCATCAATCAT